GTCAAAGCGTTATTTGTATGTTAATTCCTGTATGTATGTATGAATATATATGTATAAGCGACAACATACATATTTTCACACATAAATGACGGTTTTTTTTTTTTTGTATTATTATAAATAATTATTTTCCTTTCGAAGATGACCACATAGTATGCGGGTGTGTAAGCGTTTTATGCATATGAATGTATGTATGTATGTATGCCTGTCAATTTGAATATGTCTGATGGGAACTATGCTTAGAAATAGTTACGATACTTTTTAAATAAGTTTACATTTTAATTACTATGCAAATATTCTTTATGGACAGACACCTTAAATATCGCAAACACAACACAATAGTGTAATTTTGTGTGTGCGTATTAGTGATGGAAATATCGAAATATCAATTTTTGTGTAATCTTACTTCTGAGTATTTTTTTTTTTTGAATTTTTATGAAGATTGAGAGAAAAGGAAATGGAATTTTTGGTCCATTATTAATATCAAATTTTCCAAAATTGTATAAAAATACGAGTATATATGAAAAAGCTTTACAGTGCCGTGTCTAGAAACTTTCGTACGACCTATAACGATAAGTTAAATAAGATGTCGGACGTTCAATTTAAACTTTGACGCTTTTCCCTGCGTAGTAGAGGTTCAAGAAATTCCCCGCGGTAAAGCATGCCTGACGTAAGAGGTGACTACCATCCAAAAGTTCATGCGACAGTGAAGTCTCTGTACCGGAACGACCCGAATTTCCATCCAGCAAAGAACTGTAACAAAAAATACTTTGGGATCATTTTTAAGGCTATAACATCAACAACTAACTTCGATACTCCTGGGAATACCACTTTTGTGTGTAAGAACTCACCTTGGTCTTTGATGATATCTTTACTTGAGCTAAAGCCATGCAAATATATTGCTGGCTTACTTATATAAAGGGTAATACGAACTATGTAGAGAACCTCTAAGAAACCTCGGAGAATAAAAACCTCAAACCAACTAATACTGCAAAGTGAGCTCTTGAATTAAGAAAAACGTTGTGTTGAGAGTTGGCATTCAAAGTTCCAACAACACCAAGTTATTAAGCCTCTTTTGGCTCATTCGAAACCTTGATTAAAACCCAAGATTCTAAATCCCGAACTAGCATGTAAAAAAAAATGTGTCACTAAGCATTGCACGTGTTTGCTCTATGTATGTAGATGCGCACAGTTTGTTTTGTAAACATCCGTCAATTATACGTGAAGCCGCGCCGACAGCGTCACTCATTTATTTACCTCCTATTTTCTTTTCTACTATAGCTTATTCTAGATTTTTTTAGCTTTTATTTGCTTATTATTTTTTTTTATAATTTTCGGCTATGTTTGTCCACTGCCGCTTAAGGCGCATCATCCGATCGTCAATTGACTATGACTATACGACTCTGTCACTAATAACAACGTCGAAGCCCTAATACCACCACTGCCGGCGTAAGGAAATGTTGAAATTGTTGCTGCCGTTGGTATTATTTATGTGTGAATTTTACAAATTGCTTGCTTTTTCAATTACACTGCGACACATTTCCCACAACACTTAGACAGGGAAACATAAACAACAAAAACAATGTTAGCAAATATGCAAAGATCATTGGCAGTAAAGTAAATTCAAAAAGGTGATTATACGCTTGTTAAACGCCATGCAACTCTAAGCACGCGTAAATACAACCCTGGAGGGCTTCATTTCAAGCTTGACATAATTTAACTACAATTTGAGCTTATAGTAAATGGAATTAATTATATCTTTAATTCTTATTTGCACAAGACTTTTTGGACTTTTCTCGAGAAGCGTGCAAAACTTCTGTTTTCACTTCGCCACTGCCTGACAAGCATTTCGAAAACTCAACACATGCTATGGCACACTCTTCCTCTGCTTTGATTACCCGCCAATTCAATGTGTAATATTTTTTTTTAAATTAAATTCTACTTTTGAATTTGATCGATTTTTCCCCCATTTACATGTCAACCAATTGCCTTGTCTGTTCATTGCCTTTGTCATTGACTTTATTTGTCAATCAAGCTGCCCATAATTAGGTGAGTAGCAATCTGTACACATCAACATCACCTACCACCACATCTAACACCTTACCTCATCACCTCATATACACTTCCTCCTCTTGTCGTCAGCTGTTATTGTATCATCATACCCTCCTCCCCCCATTAGTCTTTGTTATCTCAGATAAAGCTCATTAATTTACTCAAAGCATAATTTTATTTGTGTAAAGGATAAGCAACAAAAGTACTCGAATTATATGAATTTATTAAATTAAGTCACGTCGAAGTGAGGCGACAGCCAAACTGGGCAAGCGGGAAATAATTTACATTAAATGCAAATTTACTCCCATTTTCTTCATTCACTGGAAGAAAAAGCGAACAAATTTCAATTTATTTCTACGTTAATTTAAATTCGTTTAGCTATATTTTAGTTGATCCTATTTTAATTTATATTTATTTTTTTTAATTACGTTTTGTTATATTTAACTGTTTTACTTTTATTTTATTTCAATAGCATATTATTTGGATTTATCATTTTTTATATATATTTTTTTCTATTTATTTTATTTTTTTTATTTTAAGTTAAATTAGATTAATTATTTTATTTTATTTCATTTAAATTAAACTAATTTAATTTAAGTTTTTTTAATTTTATTTAATATAAATATATTTCAACAAATATAAATATAAATATAAATATAAATATAACTATAAATATAAATATAAATATAAATATAAATATAAATATAAATATAAATATAAATATAAATATAAATATAAATATAAATATAAATATAAATATAAGTATGTTAAAATGTATGAAATTTTTAATAGAAGAGTTTTTACGTTTGTGTTTCTCTTAAGCAATTATAACTTTATATACATATGTATTTATTATTAATTTATGTATTGAATAAAAATCCTAAAACCGTATGTGCGTATTTATTTTGTGCGTATTTGATAGACTTGCTATTGGTTGAAATGATCATTTGTTTAGGTTAAGGTCGACTAGAAAAAATTAGCTTATTTGTTGTATAAGAAAAGAATTGGCAACGAAAATAAGTATTAAGTGCTTTGATCGGCAATTTGAGATAGAAAATAACAAAATAAATGAATTAAAAAAACAACGAATAATATATGCAATGAGCATTATGTATTTCTTTTAAGCGTTATTTTAGTTAAAAAACTTAATAGCTATATTTAAAATTCTGTTCTAATAGGTGTTAAATGTTAAAATGTGATATTAAAGTATACACTTTCGAAAATTGCATGCTAAAAATTGTTTCCTAACCAAGCAGTTATTACTTAATAAAAACAATTTTAAGCCAAGGCATGAGATTGTAAAGATTAACAAAAAAAAAACATTTTTAGTAACTGAATTTTGCATAACTGACCAGAGTCAAGTTCAAAGGCGATAACAGTAAAACAAGCTATAAGTAAAAGAAACTTCAAAAGACTTAAGTGACGAACTCGTTTAGCTCCCAACAATGGATTACTACGTTTATGCTTCATTTCTACGCGGGTTTATTCTACTCGGGTTTATTCTACTCGGGTTAAGCCTACAAGCATGAACGCCAATTTTTCTACTCGAGGTTAATTCAGAGTGGAGTTAATATCAGGGCAGCCAAGCCCAACTTTGATGAATTTTAGGTAAATAATTGTATTTTTGGAAAAAAGTTCGCAACTCGTGAACACCGTATCAATCAGGTTAAAAGCAAATCAGCTGATTTCAACTTAACCCTCATTTATGCTACCGAGTTAACGCTTCTACCTATGTAGAGAAATTGTGTATAATCTAGCCAAATAGAAGCCTTAACTCGTGGTGAAAAAGTTTTTATGCTTGCGAGTTTAATCTATTCGAGTAGAACATACCCGAGTAAGAATGAAGCATAAAAGTAGTATATGTAGGTGGTTGCTTGAATACATTAAATAGGACTTATTTTTCAGTAAACAAGCATTAATATTCAATTAAATTAAATTAAGTTAAATTAAATTTGTTTCATTTTATTTCGCTTTATTGGTTTTTATTTTATTTTAGTTTTCTTTATTTTTTAGTTTTTGTATTCTATTTAAAATTTTTTTTTTATTATGAATTTGAATTGTACAAAATTATTATACTTGAATATTCTTTATTGATTTTATTTTAATCTTTTTTACTTTGTTTCTTTTTTTTAAGCTATTATATTTTATTTTATTTTAATTTTATTTTGTTTATTTTATTTTACATTACTTTGTTTTTATTACATCTTATTTTAATTTTTTTTGTTTTATTTATTTTAATTTATGCTATTTTGTGTTATTTTATTTTCTTTTATTATAGTTTATTTTAATTTTATTATTTTATTTTATTCCATTTTATATTATTGTATTTTAGTTAATTTAATTTTATTTTATTTTAATTAATATTATTTTATGTTATTTTATTTTCGTTTGTTATATTTGGTTTTTAATTTTATTATTTTATTTTATTTTATTTTATTTTATTTTATTTTATTTTATTTTATTTTATTTTATTTTATTTTATTTTATTTTATTTTATTTTATTTTATTTTATTTATATTATTTTTTTTCCTTCAAAATAAAATTATTGTTTTAATTAATTTATTTTATTTTATATATTTCAATTATTCTTTTTAATATTTTGATTCAATTTTGTTTAATTTTATTCTTATTTAATTTAATTTTAATTTAAGTTATTATATTTAAGCCTTTTTGTTTTACTATTACTTAATTTTTTGTTGCTTTTATGATAATTTCCCGAACTCAGAACTTAATTCATGCATGAAGGTAATTTTCTGATCCAGAATTTGTTGTAGATAGAAAAGAACACATTTTTGTGAAAATAAATACCTTGTATATCTCGCATACGTGCGAGAAATACCGAAAGCAAAATACCAAAGCTATAAACCATAAAATTTAAAAACTTTTAATACACATAAGTATGTTTGTAAAGTCATTTCCAACAAGCGTAAGGTTTTTCATCACTTCCGTACCTCTTATTTGCACAAAATTCGTACAGAACACGTCGCAAATTTTAGCCAAATTAGTACACTGCCAGAATTTGATGAACACTGTTAACTACTGCCACAAGCCACAATATACTGGCCGTATAATTACTATGTGTGTCTATATTTGTATAGATGAATTTTTCGGTTTGGAAAGGTAACTTAGTATCTGTGCTTAGCCGCCACAAAGCATTTAAATATTCACTTCAAATGGGAAACTAAATGCCGAAAAGTAAAAATTATTATACCGTCATTTGCGGCCGCCGAGAAGACACTGATACTATGTTCTATTCAAGCAGGTGTATAAATAAACAAATTTAGGCACCTCACCGCACCCAAGTACATGCGAACGCACTCAGGCGTACGCAAACACACACACATATATATATATACATATATATGAATGAATGGTTCACCATTATCGATTTAAAATGAGTCGCTGGCTCGATGCTTTTACGCTCGCATACTCAGCTCGCGAAGCAGAGTTATTAAGCATCTTAGTTAGTTGAGATAGCAACAGGTCTTTAAGGACAATGGCAGAATTGATGATAAACGCACATAGACTCATGTCTCTGTGCATACATACACATACATATAGTAGTTATTGTATATGACTTTTATGCTCGCAAATATTGATTGACTTACTCATCATGCACATACAGCGCTCAGTATAGCACTTACTTGATGCTGGTCAACTTGCATTGTTTCGTTCGCAAAGCGCTGCAATTATTTAGACACATATGTATCTTTCTCATCTATCTTTGTAACCCTGTAAATTTAAATTCTCAATATTGCATTTCGGCGCTGAGCATTAAACACAAAATAGTTAGCAGACAAATTAAAAATGGCCAAGGTCGTGGCGGGCAATGAAGTCGTTCGAGCAGAGTTTTCCACTGATACCATTGTATATGTGTGCAAAGTTAGTGGAGGCCCTTACGCTTGTGGTTAGTTGGCATCAACATATTTTACAAAGCAAAGTAGAACAAAATTATACGAAAAACATAAAAATCAGAATTAAACCAAGCTGCGATTTTTATTATTTATAATCATTGAATAGATATATTTACGCCTAAATGTAGGCCACACTTTGCAAATCTGATCATATCCATTGTTTTCCCCGAACAAGAGAATGGCAATACTAAGAATACATATTTATACACTTATTTCTAGGAGTCATCTTAGGCAACAAGCTAAACTGGAAAGATAATGTAGTCCAAAAATACGAGAAGGTTGCTACTGTCCTCTATAGATGCAAAAGAGAAATAGGTAAGAGATGTGGTTTAAGCCCCAGGATTTGCCGAAGAATCTACGTTTCAGTAGTGAGACCAATACTACTTTACGGTGCGATTGTGGCCAGCTATAAACAAAGCTACAAATGCTAAAAAAAGAATTAAAATTCATAGATATGTGTTAATGAGTATCAGTGGCGGACTAAAGAGCACGCCAAGCTAGGCTTTAAATGTAAAACTCAATATTTTTGCTCTGAGCTTGGTGGTATATCAGTCCACTTTATTTCGTCTAAGAGAGTCAAAGCCATGGTCCACTTCATACTGAAGTACAGGTCGATGTGGTCCAATTAACTGATAACTACTTCAGAACACGAGTTCCTAGCAGAGAAGACTGGGTATGAGTCTCTTTACACAGGAACATCGAGACATACTGTAAGGCGGATAAACAGATTCTTCTCGATAAAGAGCGCATTGGTATGCCTTTTGCAACTTGCAAGCTTCCCAAAGAATCTACATTTGAAAAAGCCGGGCCAAAATGGAATGAAACTACAATCGAACCCAGGCACACCTGGCCGAAAGGGGACAAGAATAGATCACAAGATATTTACTCTTTAAAGGAACTTGTTCAAAATAATGGGAGTTCTGACGGGCCATTGTCTGATAGGGCATGGCTAGGTTTCGGAAATGTAGGACCCTATTGCTGGATAGTCTATCAAAGATAGCTGACGTCAAAGTCATGGATCCAATAAGGTTACTGAAAGAATCGAAATGATTGGATAATGAAGCATAATGGATTGGATAAGGAAGTCTAATGGTCAAGTTATTGTGGCATCACAATGGATATCGGTCAGGCCTAAGTGAAACTGATACAATAGACTGGTAGCCACCATAACGTAACCTTACCCATATCCTATATATATATATATATTAATAAACGGCAGTAATAGCCTAGCCTGGCTAGCATTCCGTACTGTCATTCTAAAGGCTAGGGTTTGAGTCCTGATTTGACCAACATCCAAAATTATAGAAAATTAAGTTTTCTAATTGTGTTCGCCCATCGACAGGGAATGTCAAACCTTCCGAATGTATAAAATCTCATCAAAAACACGATTAGCCGTTCTAGGACACCTTACACTAAATTGGAGGTCCTTTCATTTGTTGTAAAAAAAATACATCAAGAAAAATTTGGATTTCACTTGAAATTCTTCTACGAAAGTTAATCGTTTTTCTTTTTAAATTTTTTTTTTATATTTACAGGAAAGGCACTACAGACAGATTAACAAAGATTAGTGTGATTTGAATATGAGCCTAGATTGTGCGAAGGTATGTTCGGGTTACAAGTAATTTTTATACGTTTGGCTTGAGTGTGAATAAGAATAGATCGGAATTCAAATAAATGGAGCCATAAATACGACTATTTCGAATAGGTCAGTTTCGGCTCCACTTCTAGAAGAGATGAGTAGTTTCTCCCCATCGAACCGTAAGTATGAATTTTTCTATTAGGCTAGGTCGTGGTTCACTTTCCGGAGAGAGGAGCAGCCTTACGGCTAATCTGAGGAAAAAATCATCTACAAAGTACCTGGGTCGACACTGCCAACAGAGAAAAAAGACACTCCAACAGCTAAGGATCAGTTTATTGGTAAATTCTCTGGATCATTGTCATTAAGAGAGGAAAAAAGTTGTTAGATAGAGAGTACTTAGTTTGTTAACGAAATGTTGAAAGCTTCGGAAGCGAAGTTACAGGAGGAAAATGTAAAAATAAATTTAAAAAAATGCGTTTCGAAATATTCAAGTTAGAAACAGTAGAAGGCTAATATAGAGTAGGGTCCAAAAAAACACACTAATTGTTAAAGGAATTCAAATGTCTTTTATTTTATGTGAAGTACAATCGTTACAATTAAGCTCTGAATATAACAACATTCATTCAAGTAGCTTCCACGACTTTCTTTGTAGGAACGAATTCAATGAACCCAATTTTTGACCACCTTTTGCACTAAATGAAGTCGTTCGTCATGAATAGAACATTCAATATTGACTTTTAAATCTTGAAGAGAGTCTGGTTTATTGCTAAAGACCAATGACTTCAAATGACACCACAAGAAATAGTCTAAGTAGTTAAACCACAAATTCTTAGAGGCCAATCAATGACGAAATTTCTTGAAATAATCGAATCTCCAAACCCTCTTCGCTATAATTCGGTTGTTGTAAGTCTGTGTGACAGGTAGTCGTGTCTTCTTGGAACCAGATGTTGTTAAGTCCAACTTCTTCTTGGTTATCATCGATCTGAACCGCTCTCCATTGACAGTAATGATGCTAAGAGCTTCGAATGGTCGGACCAATTTTTTTTAATAAATTTTTATGAATGCCTCTCTTATATGAACTAAAAAATACCGAAGAAGTTGGAAATTTCTACATTTTTTCGAAATTTGAAAGTAAAACTCACTTCACGTTGCAAAAAAAAAAATAATTTAAATAAAACTTTTAACCAAATTTCTTAATTCAAATAGAAAATAACTTAATATTGATGCTAGATCTCTTCGATTTTTTTCGATCGGGCATATATTCTTTTCGCTGGTCACTGAAATTTTGAAGACATATTTAATAGATTTAAGAAACAAATCATCTTTTGAATCCTCTAAAGCAGACTACTGCCTTCAAACAAAATTCGTTAGTCAAAACCAGCTGCGAGGGAGTTAGAAAAAGGTCGGTAAGCTGACTAGAAAAAAAAACAAAATAAAATATATTTTTGTATTTGCTTGTAATCTTTGTCCTTTTTTATCTTCTTTACATAATCACCATTGATTTCAATGAATTTTTTAAGCGTATAGATACACTTCAGAAGACAGTCTTCAAGGTCTTGCTTATCAAGGTCAGCATTAACTGCATTAATTATTTCCTCGTTGCTATTAAAGGCCTTTCCTTTTTAATTTTTGGAAATAATCAGAAATCGCAAGATGCTATATTTGTGGAATATGGTGCTGGACGTATTTCTTCGATCCCAGAGGTCGCAATAAAATTACTCAAGATTCTGTTTTTCCAAGAAATTTTTTAAAGCTTTTGGTAAGGACCCTTCGGTGTACAATTTACAGTTACCGTCTGACCCTTTTCCAGTGAAATAGCAGCTACGATTTTAGATCGGGTGAAGTAAACTGACAGCATTACTTTTACTGCTAATTTTTTTTATTTAGATTATACTGGTGAGCTTGCTCCTGCTGGGCTCCATACCATGGACTGCTGTTTGGTTTCTTTATCGTACTTTCATCACCACCATGGAAGTTACCAAAGTTGCTAAACTGAACATTTTCCAATTTGTTTAGGAAAAATTGAGCAACATGAACTCAAGCCTCTTTCTGGTTCTCATTTAAAGTTCGTGGTCCCCATCGAGCAGATTTCTTCTTGTTTTCCAGATGACTACTTAATATTCGCGTTACATCCAATTTATTAGCAATCATTTTTTGTGCCAATCGTTGAACTTCGTCAAATTTTGGACTTCACCAGTGAAGTCATCAGTGGAAGATTTTGATCGACCTTCTCGGAGCTCATCCTCTGCGGGAAAAATGTCCTGACTGGAATCGTCGGAACCACTTAGAAAGTATTTCAAAACGTTGCAATCTTTTCATTTGCAATTTGGCATTCACTGAATATTTGTATTGGCTGTAAATCATGCCGAAATCGGAGGAGAATCATATGTGATGGAATTCCGTCTGACCTATCCTCAGTTATCTTGCGTTTTCTAGTCTCTTTTTTAGCCGTTCAATCTTAAGTTTGAAATGAGGACTAGTAAAGAAACAGGAAAGGATTTGGTGCTTTTAGATTTGACAAAAACCAATTGAAAGTCACCAACTGGTCGAATTTTTTTAATTCCCTCGTATACATCATTTTTATGGACCAAGACCATGACCTTAGGTCAGACCTGAGATTTGACTAGTCACACTTATAAGTATATACATATGTATTCACGTGGAAATATTTTTCTTTTGATATAACCGCTGGTCAGGCGGCCACGGTAGCCGAGTGGTTAGCATTGCATACTGACATTCGGAAGGCTCGGGTTCATATCTTGGTGCCAAAACATCCAAAAGTTATGGAAAATTAACTTTAAATAAAAAATTAAATTAATTTTCTAATTGCGGTCGCCGCTTGGCAGAGAATGCCCATCCCTCCGAGTGTATTTCGGACATGTAATACCGGCTCATCGTGAAGAAACCATCAGCCGATCGGAGGCGGCTTAATATAAACTGTAGGTCCCTCCACAATTGGAGGAGGAGTTCGGCCGAAAAATCGCTTCAGCGGTTACAAAGCGCCAAATATATTTGTATATATATGTAATATATATATATATATATATATATAGCTCGGGTTGATGAACCTCAAGGCATTTAAAATATAAAAAATACATTTTATGCACATAATTACGGTTTTAGCATCAGTTATTAGTAATTAATATGCACTTCCACATGCTTTCGTCCTAAAAAATGTGGTCAAGGAGTAAAAAGTTTCGGTGCTTTTTGCGCTTCATTTATCAATTTTTCGAAACAAAAAACTATTGGCTACCTCTTTGTTATTGTTATTGTTATTGTTACTATTCATATGGTCATTTCGCTGCAGTCTACTTTGGAGATAAGCGGCTACTTAATAAGAAACTGGTAGGTACATACTTACATACATACATACAAATGTATACAGATACAAATGAGTGACTATGCGTCACTTCACCCCGACCAAATTAGCTGATGGATTTTTCACTTTTGCTTTTGTCTAACCTTTCGCTGCTGAAGAAGCGATGAAGTTGAAGTTCATGGTTTTTATTTGCATAAATGCTAATTAATATACTCATACATTCATTTTGTTCAGATAACAAGCGATGCGACATTAATTAAAATAAATATCTGTAGTTATGAATTAAATATTTTTCTTCTTTTGTGCAACAAAAATGTCTGACCGGAAGTTTTGTTACGCGGATGTTCAACGGTAGTTTCCCTCAGATGTTGTGACTCTTCTTATTCTTCTTGTTTGTCGTAAGCAACACTTACGCCAATGTAGCCGCATTGACAATTACGTGTTAGCGCAGCCGCGACCTACTCCACATGATCCTTGCAACGTCGTGGAGGTTTTCTTCCTGTGCTTTCACGGTTACTGGAAGGTAAGTACCGCATCGAATACTTTCGCAGCTGATTTGAATTTGTCCATAGAAACGGGAAGACTTAGCCGGCGTACATGTTGTCGTCAATGTCGTCGAACAGCTCATTGATCGACGATCTGATCCATGGCTCTTAACCTTTCTATCGAAAACTCATCAGTACAAACTCACGGGATATCGACGAGATGATACCTCCACCTTGTATTCGATGTTGAAGAGGCTTATCCGTAATATGTATCAACACCATCGTCATCGATTAAGGTTTCGGGCTTGTCAACTCCGGGTGTTCCATTTTCACTGCACTGCTACTTGAAACCTTTTAAAAGACGCTTCATTTTTTAAATTTATATTTATTCTATTAACTCTCTCACTTTTTTCGTCTTCAAATGCATCTCGCTTCCCTCATCAACTCTGTTTCCCACTGCGCACCAGCTCTTGTCGAAATCCAAAAGCTATAAATGACGTCCCATATTTACCTTCCTGCGGGTTACGAGTTCAAGAATTTACCATCGCGGTAAGGCATGCCTGTCGTAAGAAGCGACTTAAATCCAATAGTTCCCAGTAGACAGTTGGGTCTTTATACCGGAACGACTCGGATTTTTTTCCTACCAAGGACCGTCTCTCCCACAAAATCTCCTAAAAGTATGTGGGGAATATTTTTGTGGTTACAACAACAACAACGTCCCACATTTACCCTTTACCGAGCCGTTAATGATTGCCCTCAAGATCAGCTGGATTTCTGGTTTGATTGCAGCTTTTCGACATCGAGCCTACGCTCCGTGCGTTGACGCTCATTCTTGGCTGCACCGAGACGAAGTCGAGTTTTAGCTGAAACAGATAGAGTTCGGAGTCGATGTAAGGACTTTTTTCGTCTATAGCAGCATGGCTGATCCGATTTCAAGTCTTTCAATCCGTAGAGAGCCAAGTTCACTCTCTTTCTCTCACCACAAATCCAGCACAAAGTTTGCGCTTTAGACCTTTATATGGTTGCAGTGGCCATCGAAATCAGAAATTATCATCTGAGGTTTCTGTGAATGGGGCGAGCCGCTTGTAGAACAGATTTAAAGACCACAGGAGACTTCAGATTTCACATTTTTCAATGCAATATCCCGTTATGGAAGTGGGAGAGGCCTCCACTGTTTTATACCTGCCTCCTGCAGCCAAAAGAAGAAAAACTGGTTTAAACGGACGGGTAAATGCTTGTAACCCACTTCTTATTACTTCTAGTTCATTGGGAACAATAAATAAAATGTTTACACATACGCAATTTTTAAATTTATTTTGAAATTATGTATGAAAAATGAATAAATAACTTATATTTAATATTATTAATTTATTCTCCTTTCTCAGTCTTAAAAGCATAATAAGAGGATTCTCGTAGTATAGCAGAACACTCTCGCTGCATGCTAACAAGCAACATTTTCATTTGAAACAACAACAAGCTAGTGCAGGATAGCCCTCTCGTGCAGAAAATCAATGTAGTTTGACCCCTTTTTTCCTATGGCAATATTTATTGAGCGCGGTTATGTCTAGAGTAAGGGAATTCCCTCATAATATCTCTCTACAAATACAATACTTATTTTAATTTGTGTACTCCGCAATAATTTCATCAATTTTAGCAAAAAGGCCTACACCTTCCGAACGCTCTACTACATCACCAGCGCTCAATAATTTAGCGGAATTCATCTCAATCTCATTTAAAGACATACCGGAAAATCTTTCATCAATCAAATTAATGCGTACTATTGCACTACCAACGCATTTGCCTTCCGCTTCATCGTATTCATATACTTCAAATGAAGCCCACTGATCCTCAACTTGCGAGGAGGAAGATACAACAGGTGATTGATTAATATCATCCGGTGAGTTGGCAATCTGAGCACACGTTAGCTCTTGAGTGGGTCCAAAATATTGCTCCATGGTAGTACTCGAAGCTTCGGTTATATTTTCAGCCACTACAAGTTGTGTCTGTGTTTCTTCTACTCTACGGATGCCGTCATGAAAACTTTGTGTAGTATCTTCTTGTGTATACGGAATTATAGGCTCCTGTGTTAGTGAAGCTCTCGGTTGGGTGTTTTCCTGTGGTATATAAGAGCTATTGAGCTCGAATACTTGTGTTTCCTCATCATTCATGTATAATAGGAGCTCCTGTGCTTTCGATGCAGCCGAATTTGCGATGTTTTCCTCAGGACATGTAGTTAATAACTGATGCTGCAAGCTCGACATATCTTTACATTTACTTGTATCTTCATCTAAATCCTCACTTTCTGATAACACAACTGTCTCGATTTTACCTGTGCTGTTGTTACAATCACTTGATGGAGGAACACTTTGTTTGGAAGTGGTTCCACTTGCCATTACTTCTTCAACTGAGCGTTTTTCTGCGGAGCAGGCTTTTATTGAGGAATTTATATCTGGCGTTTTCTGGGGAATAACGGTGATAAAACTTTCGCCAGACAATTGGCTATCCTCATCTTCTGAGAAGGTGGCTATAAAACTTTTTGATGTTTTTTCTTCAGCATTTGTATGTTTTTTCCGCATATATATGCTTTTAGTAATAACGTCATCTGCATTATCGGTATTAGTTTCATTTTCGGGCAAATTCGTGACTCTCGATTCAGTGCGTGCACATGTTGCACACTTAAAGGTGGTTACTAGCTCCTTAGCATTCTCGTTTCCCAATAAACATTTAGGATTATGAGCTCCTACACTGCCGCACAACGAGCAAAGTATTACAGACCATTTGCCTAAAATAAATATGAAGTTAAATTAAAAAAAAAAATGCTTGAACATTATAGCGCATTAACATACCTGTATTGTAATCTCTACCTTTAGGGCACAAGCATACATCCATGTCACAAGTGCTATGACCTCGGTGCAAATCAGTATATGTACCCTTCTGCATTTCCCAACAAGCATCTCTATCAGGCACAAAAACACCATGTAACGGGACGGTGTCCCGGAAGTCCTTACTACGACACCAAAGGCAGCGCAAATAGTAGCCAGCAGCAAGGGCATATTTTTGAACGCAAACATTATGCGCATAGCCTTTATTGCAACATTTACCAAATACAAAAATTACCTCATCGTAGAGACCCATTTGATCGCGACAAATACTGCAACGTTCAAAGCTTGAAGGTCGTTTTTTAAGTCCACCTGGTCGTAGATCCTGCCTTGGAACACAATCGTCACAATATGAGCGAAAGTCACCAGTAAAAGTGAAAAGGCAGCGATTTGAACGTCCGCAGCATAAGTGAAAATAATCATGACATTTAAAACACTGAATGGAAGCATTTGAACGAGCACAATAGCAACAAGTGCGCTTAGAAGCAGCATTTATTTCTTTGCGGATGTCTCGTAATAAGAAGCCATTAATGCCACTGAAATCTTTCCCTTTTTGTGGTAAATTGGTTGAGAGTAGCTGATATGAGGATAGATTATTAACTTTTTTTTACGGCTTTATTAGGAAGCTACAGCTTACCAAACAGTAGTAATGTACGGTAATACCACGACTGTGTTGCCAATCTCCAAATAGTAATTCATCAAAATTACAGTTTGTCTTGTCTTTGCAAATATCACAAGTTTTATAATCCTCATTCGACATTATACAAATAAATTTAAGAAAATTTCAAATAAAATTAATTACGGATTTTTGGGAATTCTTCTTCATTCAGTTGCTCATTCACAATGCTATGTCAATGGGAACAGTTTAATCAAAGAACGTATATTAACAAGAAGGGAAATGAACTGTGAACCAATTTGAAAAATTTTGTTGAGGTGAATAGTGAGGTGCCACAGCCAGATTACACCTTCCTTCAACAGACGGACAGACAACTTGAATTTACTTACTTCCCAATATGAGCTAATAGGCAAACAGCAAATATAACAGCATGATGCCGACTTGCTTCAATTCGGCGGACAAAGTCTGAATTTTTGTCAAAGTCGCAAGAATTTGAAACAATGCTAGTGTATGCCACATACCAATGCATATTGTTGCTTCACATTTCGTGAAGATGTAGGATTTGCTAATTTAGGTTACGGGATTTTTTATACCCGGCTGCACTATGTGAACAGAGTACATTGGGTTTGTACTGCTAATGGTTTAAAATGATCGAATAAACTTCTTGGAATGGTGAGGTAAATAGATTTAGTAATGTCTGTCCCTCCGTCTTAACACACGATAGCTCGAGTAATAACTGAGATGTTTCAAACATATAAATATCAGAAGAATAAGAACTTCTAGGTTATGTGGTGAATAGGCAAAGAACTTAAATGAAATTATAAAATATTATTTGATTGATTTATATTCCTTATTTTTGATGATTCTATTTCAAACGTTCAAGCAGTTTGTATTTTTGCATAGGTGATGGTTTTTTTTTAATCAAATATAAACTTTAAATAATATAATCTCTCTAAAATTCCGGTTTAGTCTTCTGAACAATGTTAAAACAAAATAATACTCAACAAAATAGGCTTCTTATATTTGTTATATTACAATTCGTGGCAATTAGTGAATGGATTAACTCTGATTGATTCATTAAATAACAAAAAAATGTATTCTACAACCGTAATACGTGCATACTTGTTAAAACGTACTATTCTTCAGAGAATTCAATGTAACAATTTCGAAGATTTCAGCGCACGAAACACAAACTTCTTATCCCAGACGCAGAGAGCCTCCGCTGCTTGTTAGGGGTTCAAGAATTTACTCGCGGTAAGACATGCCTGTCGTAAAAGGCGACTAAGATCCAACAGTTCCCGCGACAGTCGGGTCTTTATACCGGAACGACACGGATTTTTATCCGGTCTAGGACTGCCTCTCCCGCAATGTTCCTCAAAAAGAACTTTGATTCGGTTACAACAACAACAACAACATCCCAGACATAGCATATATACAGGTGGGTTCTTCTTGAATGATCGATAATACGTTGCTTCCAATCAGAGAATACACAGTCTCCAAACTCACAATTTTTTCTTTTATTTTGACTGAAAGAATAGACAATTTTTACATCCACGTAAGTTGCACATATTTCTCTTTTGATTAAGATTTTCCAGAACTCTTTAAAAACTATCATGGGATATAAACACTTTTCACCACAACCCTGTTAATCAACTCTTCCCAATTGGTTTGAAAACTAGCTTTACTCACGCTGTACCTACCTTTAATGCTTTCCACCGCGTTTGGATGATTGGATGATGTTTCTTTGACATTTTCGTCCATTCTTTCTTTGCTTTTGAATGTGTGTAATTGTGCGGGCTTTCGTTTGAGTGCATTTCTAAGCGGAAAAGTAAAATCTGCATTTTATTTGCAATAAAAATAGTAAGCCGGAGCAAACAACAAAACCGAGTAAAACGGAAAAATACAAGAGAAAAGGTTTGTGATGAGAAAATGTAAAGTGGTATTCAATAAATTTGATTTTATGTAATTTGGCGGCTTTTAAATTGTAAAACTTGAATGGCGTCTACAATGTTCAATGTTGAGGTAGGAAATTTCAATGTGATGTAGAGAATATTTTTTTTGCATAACCAATGCATTTGCCGTAATTAATGAAGCTGCAGAAGTGCACAGCGCTTTGTAAGTGCAATCGAGTAATTAACAGCAGTTAATGAAAATTGTTGAATACCTGTAAAAAGGTAAATACAAAGCATACATATATGTTAACCTTTAATTAAGGAATGGATGTAGTAAAAAACGGTCTGCAAAAAAAAAAAATCAACGAACCGCCATTTTTAAAACGTACCAGGGCCGAGTCTGCCAGCGACTCCTTTGTGTGCTACAGTGAAGGCGAATGATGTTGGGAAATAAAAATTAATTTGTATAAATTAAATGATACATTCGACATTTTAAAATAAATTAGTTGTAATCAAAAAATCACTATATGCACATATGTATATATATAATTTTTTTTTATACAAATAATCCAAATATTCTACAAAGTTAATAACTGAACACAACAACACGTTTACATGTTGTTTTCTTACATATAAGTTGATCGCATTCTCAATTCTTCTTCGCTATAACGAATAGAACAATGAAAACAAAAAAGTGAATTATCATCAACATTGCCCCCACTAAATTGGGTAGCATTCTTGTGTGGGGCTCGTTCATAGTTGTATAAACTGTATGTAGTTGCATGCAAGTGAATATAGATAAGCGGTATACATATATGCACATACATGCATATGTATGGAAGTGTATTGTAAGCATTTATTTTTGTACTTTTATTATATTTATGTATATGAAAGTTCAGATATGTATGTATATATTTATTATACATACATATGTATATGAAAAATTGTGCATTTGCTGTTGGGTACAACTTCATTGCATCGTCATTTCAACGTCTGACTGCCGACTGTTTGTTTGTTAGTTCAACGCTTGAGTGATCCAGCGAGACTTTAACGGCTCTTTCGTTGAGAGGTGCAGCTGATTTCGCTTTTCAATCGTCGCTTTGGATAATTGTTCTTAATTTTCATTTTTTTCCATTGCGCGGCGCCTGCTGCTATACATTCTTGTAGAGAGTTTCAAATTGTTTTACGCTGACTTCTGATTTGTTTCCTTTGTTTATGCTTTTATATATGAAAGCGCCGCTTAAATAGTTTGTCCCCACCCTAAATTAGTTATTCAAGGCACATACATATATAATATATATATGTACAGCATACATTTATATATGTATGCATAAGGGATTTTTGAAATTTTACAATACATCGCTTCATTGAAAAATTATTGATATGAGTATGAAAATGATGCATTGCAAGCGAACTTTTAAACTATTTATATACATAGCACCAACAAACAGTCGTGTCGTTGGGACATTAGGATACACTTTCTATTTGTGAATTCATATAAATACATGTATATATGTATATACAAATGCGAATGTACATATATACATTTGTAGGCTCGATAGGATTGCCAAGAAATGCGCTACACCAGGCAGGTATGTACTTGCGACACGGCAGTCGTAATTAAAAATCTTAGAAAAATTTTTATTTCAAATAAGTCTCGGAGGTATTTTAGTTCAAATTTTGCAAGAAACTGAAAAATGGATAAAGAGTTAATTGTAATGTATAAATAATTTTTTTTTTTACATATCCATATACTTACATATATACTTACATGTGTATGTATGTAGTAGATATGTATAAGGTTACAATTCGTCCTTTATTTCAAAAAGTGGTGCACATATGTATGTACTTATGTACGTGTATATTTAGGTAAAATAGTATATTTGTTTCTCACATATGTGAGTAAATATGTACAAATAGATACATATGTTCCAAAACGTTTAAAACATCTTAACAAATAGGTAACCTTCAAAATGATGCCGGCCTAATTATATATACATATATACATATTTACAATATTCATCTACACACACACCTCTGTGTAGCCACCATTCCCGGTTGTAGCGCACAAAAACAACAAATTACAAATAATATGCAGTTGGGATAAGAAAAACTAGTTTTCTTTTTCTATTTTGTTCATATTCCGTGCGCTGTAATTCATTTCATCGTAGGTACCGTAGTTTTCATATGCCTTTCCATGTCATGCATTTCAGCTGGTGATTCAATGGTGCAATTATCTATGAGGATGGTTTTATTAATACGTTGTTATTCGAAAACAGTTTTTATTTTTAGAAAATTTTGCTAAGAATCTGATTTTTCATGGTTTTTTTTTATATATTCTTTTCTACAAATTCATTTTGAGTATAAAATTTCTTAAAAATTAATTTTTGTATTTGTTTTAACAAAACTTGTGTGCTGGCAATACCTAGTTTTTCATGTAAGCGGAGTGTTTGCAATGTTGCACCCTGTTTTTTGACTTTTTTTTTACTAACTGGTCGATGTGTATGCATAGATGTATACATATGTATGTACAGTTGCGAGAAAAAGCATAGTACTGCTTATATATGAAAGGAAGGCTGTTTGACTATATTATTTTTATGTACATACATATATATGTATGTATATGAATGAGGGGCAATTTATATGGTATCAGTACACATTTTTGCTTAGATTCTTCTGGAAACCAAATTTCCAACTCTGAACTGCTATAACTTCTTTTGCACATCCAAAAATTCTAACTCTTTTGATTCAACATTTCGCAATAAGAAGTTATTGAAGTGTAGCGCAGATAATTACTCAAGCGGAGCGGCTTTCAAATTTACATATGTATGTATGTATCAGTTGCAAAGCGTACGCAATATTTGTAATTGTATGGGTTTCTCATTGATTTTTAGTCATTGTACCGGAAATGAGTGCTAGCCATGGTTCACAGTTCTTGGATGTTGGGTCTGGTCGCATACCCAAAAAGGGTTGATGCAGTTCGCTAAATACTAATACAAGCCACACATACTTCCCAATAATAAAACAAAAGTAAAAAAAAAACTATACTCAATAATGATATTTAAATGATGTTTTTTATTGAGCTTCCATAAAAAAAACTTTAAAAACCATAACTACATATGTATGTATGTATATCGAAAATTTAAATAATAAAAATTAAACTTTTAATTCAAAATGCAGGCTACTTGAAAAATATATAATTTAAATTTGTCTGGGACTCAAACTTGTACATAAATATGTACGTATGTACAAATGCATATTACGATTTCAATTTTTACACATATTTATGTAAAAGTCCAGTATGCAGATTACATTACATTCCATTCTCGGTAGCGTATTTATACATACATATGTATTTACTTATATGTATGTATGTATATAATAATTTAGCAGTTGTTATAACAGCAATTATTGTAATTTTTGCGGCTACAGCTGTAGTAGCAACACGTGAATGTTGTGTGGGCACTCAATTTTTATAGTACATAACTATGTATGTATATATATGTTGGTCAGTAGTTATGTATGTATGTACCTCTTAAACGCCTTAGAACCTGCTTGCAAATTTCTAACTTTAAGCCGTGTTTAAATATAATTAGAATAATGTAAATTTAATTATTTTCCGTTTTTTTTTCCAGCTTTGAATTTTTATAAAAAGAGACGATAAAATTGAAATAAATAGACTAAATAAAATTCATCAAAACTCTTGGTAAATCCGAGAGATTGCCCAATTAATATCAGTATGTGTATGTATGAGTGCTCATGTGTTGATCCGTGCAACATCCATATGTGTGTACACTGTAGGCGTCTACTTAAAGTGCAACATATGATTTTGAAGCGCATGGAGCAGATTTGAGTGTAGCTTATCTCTAAATAAGCAGATAAGCACTTTGTTGAAATTTATTTTATGTGTACATAGACACATCTAAAAGTTACATACCCATATGCAATTGCAATCAGAAGAGAAAATGTGTTTACATCTGTAACCCACTAGGAAACTATCATGTTTTCATTTTTATTTTTAAGTTTTGTTTATCTACTTCAATATAGAATGTCTTGGTTAATGTAAACAAATACATATTTTGACACGGTATTCTGATATAAAATCCTCGGTCCCTAAACTTTGTTCTGTATAGTAATTAGATTATTGATACGAAAATAAACAGCGGAAGAAATGAAAATGTGTACCTCAAACTTCTATGTCAAGGGTAGGGAAATAACCACATTTATTTCAAACAGCGATGTTTTTGGTTTAAAACGAGAGAGAATGTCTTTTTTACGAGAGGGATGTTTATATATGTATTTATTAGATACTCCATGAATATTTTCTTTCTGTTTACCTTATGCTATAAATGAACGTAGAAAAAGTAAGGCTGCAACTACCCATTTTACTCACCAGCCGTCCATAACTGGCGACGTCGAGGCGAGATAAACACACGAGTTATCGACGCCGCTGAGAGCGGAGAAATGTTGCCAGCTGCCTGTGTGTTTGCACACTTTTGAACAAATTCATAATTTTCGTCAACAAATTTCATAATTTATTTGCTTGAACATAAACACAAGACAAATATACATGATCTATATGGTAACAAATAATTAGTTACGCATTTATTTTTCATTTCTTTTGAACAAAACTACGCATTATCTGCGATTATTTAATGTTACTTTAAAAAAGGCTATACTGGCAACCTTGTATAGCAACGAAAAATGAGCCGAGCCGGTTTTACGGAAAAATCAAAACTTCGTTGGTTTCTGCGACACAAACGTCAGCAGCGCTATGGTAAATCGGTGACAACTTTGTGTTTACATGGCGCTCTCATAAGATAGGTTACTATGGACGGCTGGTACGCTCGTTGGGTAGTTGCAGCCTAACTGGTGTGATAGACAAACAATTGCTGATAACATAAACACTTTAAAGCCTTAGTGGCGACAGTAGCATAACTTTACTTTCGATTGAAACTATTAAAAAATACCTACAATCAAGTATATTAGAGGGAATAAATTTCGTTGTATTTATATTAATAAATAGATTTTTTCAAAAACTCCAAAACCTGGCCTTCAATTTTCCTTTTTAATACAAATATTTTTATTTTCTCTTCTTTACAGAGAACCTTCTGTACACTTACAAATTAATCACCAACAGGTTATTTTAACTTTTATTTTCCATTTGACGCAAAGATGTCAACCAAGGCCACATCTCAGCAAGTGCGGCGCACACCGCTCTCCTTAAGTGGCGGCGTTAGCAAACAGCATCATCAGAATCAACATGGCAAATCCTCTGACTCCAATGGTAATTCAAATAATAGCGCAGCGGCTAAAAATCAAAAAAATAATACAAATCAAAAGACTGAGTCCAATAATACCGATGTAAGGGAAAGGAAACAAGCTCAACAGCAAAATGCTAATAATGAAACTGCTGCAAATAAAAATGAAAAGGTTGAAGAGAAGAAGACTCAAAATGGGAATGGCAAGGCGGTGGCTACTAATGGCGGAGCTAAAGAGAAACATCAAAATGGTAACGATAAACAAGATGCAACCAATGGTTCCAATGCCAAGTCGGCTAATACAAATTCAAACGGTAATACTGTTAATGCAAAAACCAATGCTACAAAGACGAATGAAAAGACAGCACCGGTGGCAGCTGTTAAGGGAGAAGAAGCGGCTAAAAGCAAGGACCGAAAGACACCACAGCCTTTTGAAAAAACCGAAAAAGAAGTTGTAAATGAGAAGGAAAAGGAGAAAAAGAAAGAAAATGTACAAGATAAAGAAAAGAAGGAAGAAGCTGCTCAAGAGAAAGTTGTCGAAAAGGAAACCAGATCGCGTCGTCACGAAGCTTCGACACCGACAGAAATTGAGAAGAAGCAAACTGAAAAGGCTGAGCCTGTCAAAGCCGAGGATACGAAGAGGGAGGTATCGACGCCCACATCACGTTCAAGTGCAGCTCAGGCCAAGACCAGGTCTACACCTACAAGAGTTGCAGATAAATCCGGCAGCAGTACGCCAACAAAACCGTTGGAGAACAAGTTAAGCGTTTCAAAACGCAACAAAACCGTCACTACAGTTGTCGATGATGTCGATATGGAACCACTTGTAGTAAATTCATCGCCAGCAAAAGCAGTGAAGGAAAATTTAGCAGCAGAACCTGTCGCCGTGGCTACACAACTTGCTATGCAGCCACCCGCTGCCACTTCGACACCTGGCAAAGCTCTACAAGCAACGCAAAAGTCTAAACAACCAACAATTGATGCTAAACCAGATATCCCCATAAATATACCGAGCAGTGGCCCAACTCCAGATCGCAACAGTGCGCCACGCACTTTTACACAAATCGGTGGACGTCGCAGTATACGCCCGCTAAGCGAGTACACACCATCCAAATTCCAAAGTAATTCACAATTTCGGGAATCTTATCGTCGTATCAACACTGAATTGGATGTCAGCTCAACAACAAATTCAAGCATGAATGTCACTGTTGGGTCTGAGGTACCGAATAACTCTTCATTCTCATTTTTCGGTCGCGGGCGTAAACGCGATCGCACACCACCACAACAATCCCAATCAGCCATGGAGGTGCAAACTGATGCTGATTATTCACCACCGAAACGCGCACGTTTGGACATGTACTCGCTATTCAGTGTGGTCTCATCGCCTTTAACGATGTTGCGTTCACGTTTCTCTAAAGCTTCCATACAAAGCAGCACACCGGTGAGGTTGACCTCTAAGCTAGCTGCCGAAAATGATGAAGCTGAAGTGCAAAATGTTTCAGGCATTTCAATTGAAGAGGAAAAGAATGAAGCAGGTGACAGTGAAGATAAGACTGCAACCGAGGATGTCACGGTGGGCAAGAAAACTGATGATGAAGATGATACCACACCCAAGATGGAATCGCCGATGAAAGTGGACAAAAAGTGTGACATGGAAAAGGGTGATGAAATTGATGATGAGCTGATGAAGGACCAAACAAATTCTTCAGATGTACATGATGTTGCAGCAGGCGTCGCTGATACTTCGGTTGCATCGGCTAAACTTAAAAATAAGTGTAATATCATGTAAGACCGTCATGTGGAAAGATATTAAGCGCATTGTTTATAATAATTACTTTAATTTTCTTTAAATGTTTGAAATGTTCTATGTATGTCATTAGTTTCACCTTCATACAACAAACATACAATATTTACTCGTACGTATAATTATCATTATTACTTTAAAAAAATATAAATATATTTGATTTGTTTAAGTGCAGATGTCCTTAGCCTGATAAAAGTGTAATGCAGCCCAAAAATAGATATCCATTAAGTTCACCTTAATTCAAAGTACGGCATTTTTTTCTTCAATAGTAAAACAGTGACTTATTTTCATCAAAATTGTTATTGTTAAAATATAAGGCAGTGTTGATGCTTTACATGACTGTTCGATTGTATAAAATTAGTGTGTATCAATTGTCTTATATTCGTACAACAACAAAATTTATGTTTTTCCAATTGTCTTGTATTCGTCGTAGAACAAAATTAGAAATTATTATGTAAATTCCAAATATTATTTTTTTATGTTTTTCCCCAAATTATTTTATTCGCAGGAAAGCATAAAAGAACAAATATTTAAAGAAAGACATTTTTTTGATTAATTTTTCTTTATATAAATTAGAGTAATTAAGTTTTAGATGATATAAAAAAATATAAATCTGTTTTTAATTAAACATACTGAATTAAATACATTACATACATGTTTACTATATATGTATGTATATGAATGTACGTATTTATAGCACGTTACAAACTTTTAATGTTTGTATCGTCATAAGTTTTGTGTATTATCATATTTTTGATTGCAAATAGCAAAACTTAATTATTTACTTTGTCAATCAATCTTATAATTTCTATATATATAAAGTAGTTGTACGCAGCTTACGCATTACAATAATTACAATAAATATGCATATATTATATACACACATAATCATAATTTTATGCCAATTTTTAACAATATTCAGTAATAATAAAAATAAAACCAGATTTCATAAAAATGTGCAGTTTTATTGTAAAGCCCAAAATTTTTGTGCCAGTATTGTCCGGGTTCCTTTCAGCAGCACGAACTTTTCGTTGTTGTTGTAACCGCAAAAATATTGCGGCAGTGACAGTCCTTGGCCGGATACAAATCCGGGTCGTTCCGATATAAAGATCCGACTGTCGCGGAAACTATTGGATTTTAGTCGCCTCTTACGACAGATGCCCTTCCGCGGGTGAATTCTTGAACCCCTAACCCGTAGCGATTCTGCAACATATTGCTGTATTGAGTCCGGATACTTGAGTATTATTTCTCATGCGCTCTGAGCAATTCTGTTTCGAAAAGGTGTCTGTAGAGGGGTTCGCGCTGGTAGCATGCCAACATGGTCCTCATGGCGATATATTGACGGCATTTTAATTTCCTCGCTGCGTTTCGCTCGCACTTAGCGTCAAAATCATGCTAACAAAGTTTCTGCGTTGTGGCCAGCTGCTGCCGGTTGGTGAATAGACGATTTACTCTTCCTCTCAACGCGGAAAAAAGGTAAACATTGAAAGACTCAAGACTCGGAGAAAATAAGTGAGTTCCCGAAACTAAGTTTTAAGTGAACTCCAGTATATTAGACAACTACTTTCAAAATCCTTTGGCGGGACTCCCTATTATAGATAAATTGCTTTTTAACGACCCAACCTGTTGTTTTGAATACATTTCATACATAACCAGAGCTTTGCTTAACAAACCAACTACCCTTTGATTGTTCAGGAAGAATATATTGTAATGCCCGTCGTTTAAATTTAATTTAATTTTGTTAATAAACTCAAATACAGTGTCTCAATAAATACACACCCACTGTAAGAACATGAAATGGCAGCACTCTGACAATTTATTTTCGAGAAACCGTGGCCTGGCAATACTGCTTTGGCGGTTATGTCAAATTAATTTTTATCTTTTTGAACGTTCGGTCGAGTTTTTGAAAGAAATTTTGCTACAATTTCTAATTGCATGAGTAGTTTTAAATTAGGCATTTTTGGAAAGTGCTACAGAAAATTCAAATATATATTTGTGCATTCGTGACAGTATAAGTGCTTAGAAATAATATAAAACTGTTAAAAGTCATTATAGAACGGAAAATAATTTGTGCGCGCAAAAATTTATCTAGAACTTCAGACAATTGTATCATGGAAAAGGAGGAAGCTGCAACTGTGCAGTACCATCAATGTGATTATAAGACACCCAAGAAATCATCCATGTTAATTGATGCAGAACGCTTATTGGATAAAATAAATATATTAACAACAAAGCCAGAAAATCAAACTAGTACAAAGGTATTATATTTCAAATGTGACTTGCTTTTGAGTGACATGAAATATAAGATTTTAAAATAATACACATTTGTTATTGCATAGCATGCAGGAAATGCACTCGTAATATGCAGTTACTTTTGCGAAATACAGCTGCAGCGTTCGTGCGGTGTAAATTGAAAGAGGGACTGATTTTTTTCAGACCGTCCTTTGTTTCATATTTGCGGCAAAACGTGTAATGAGCCTTGCAAATTTAATATCTTATTAGAAATCTTTGTTTATAATTTGTAAAAATTGTGCACTTTCTACAAATTTGGCTTTTTTTTCTCTCCTCGTTCAGCTACCAACAATAAAAGATTTTGTCGTAATCAAACCAATAAGTCGTGGCGCATTTGGAAAGGTATTTTTGGGTTATAAAAACAATGATCCAAACCGACTTTACGCCATCAAAGTTATGCGCAAATCGGAGATGATAAATAAAAATATGGTATCCCAAGTTATTACAGAACGTAATGCGTTGGCATTATCGCGTAGCCCATTTTGTGTGAGTTTATTTTACTCACTACAATCGATCTCATATGTCTTTTTAGTAATGGAGTATATGGTAGGTGGTGATCTAAAATCACTACTAACCATGTATGGATACTTTGACGAAACAGTGGCGCGTTTCTATGTTGCAGAAGTTGCGTTAGCGTTGCAATATTTACATGAGCACGGAATTGTACATCGCGATATAAAACCGGATAATATATTGCTATCGGCGACTGGTCATGTCAAATTGACTGATTTTGGTTTGAGTAAAATTGACAATAGGAGAGGTAATTAAATTATATTATTTTTGTATATACGTTAAAAAAACCATAACATACAATGTTATTTATATACTTTACTTATAGATCTGGAGCTTTCTGACCTAATAAACGTGTCACCTACTTTGAATGCACGTACACCGGGCCAATTACTATCACTGACATCACATTTGTCTTTTGGTTCTGAGAAAAAATTAGAATGTGGAAATGGCACTTCAAACCTGATGAATGCCATAAACAAACGCAGTATGTAAACTGTTGTAATAAACAATCCTTGTAAGAAGTAAGATAAGTTATTTTTCTCAGATATAATCACTGAGTCTTCGGATAGTGAAGCAGACACATCATTGAACGAGGCTGAACGGACGAGTGATAGCAAGATATCTGGAGTCTCACCTTTCTTTTCTGCAGAAGAAATTAACGTTTCCGTACCACATACATGTGTAACTAATGTGGGGTTTTGTATATTTTATTTTTATTTTCTTACTTAATTTTTTCAAATTAATTATTTATTTACCTATAGACTCAGCTCGCTGATAGCAGTACTTCCTCTTATCACACGTGTACATCTACGGAGATAAGCAAAAGCGATGCAAGTGCCACTAGTGCTCCTAATCCCACTGCCAATACTAAACATGTCGGTTTCGTAGACATTAATATTGAAATCAGGATTGCTAGAGAAAACTGCAATGTGAGTGGTGTTGTTTTTAAAACTCTTTATAGCCCATATTTCAAATTATAATTATACACTTTCTATTATAAAAGGGTTGCAAGGAGGAGCAAAATATGCGTTTAAAAGATAATAGCAAAAATAATAAGATTTTATTTAAGTTGGAGCTAAAAGAGCAAGATGAAACTTCATTTGAGTTCAGTATGCTACGAAAACGTTCCTTAGATGAGGTGCGTAAGCGTACTTGTTTGTCTGTGCCTGTATTCGGGGTTTTGCAGTGGGTCTAAAGTTCTTATTTTCTTTAATACTACGCAACTTTTATAAGCTCTATTTTAGTAAATGCATGTACTGTTATTTGTTTAATTTTTGGCTATTGGGTAAATGTTGTTCAAATGTGTTTCAAAATGTTCTCACTGGAAAGTGTTTCTCTAACTTTTTTGCTTATAATTTATATACAATATTATATTTGAGTTTGCCAATAAAACTAATAATTTTCAATACAGCGCTTGCGTACTTCAAAAGGCACCGAAGACTCGGGCGTATCGAGCCGCAAAAGTGACTATTCGCTGTCGCAGATCAACACGACCACGAGCTCGCTAGATAAAGCTGATAATATGTGCATTTCGAAGATAGATACCAGTTGCTCTGACTATTCGCGCAGGTGCGATATTTATAAATTATCCAAGACGTTTTATAAAGCGGTATGTTTTTTTCTCTTATTTTAGCTACAATACGAATAATACTAATGAAACTAACAGTATACGTTCACCTTTTCGTAATTTATCGAAAAATTTTAAGCGACCAGAATTTTTAAGGTATTTTTACACAGATTAGGATAAGCATACAATTTAAATTGATGTTATGATTTACTGCTAATTTTTAGGGGTATGAAACGTAAATTAAATCTTCTCAATCGTTCGGAGTATTCGTCCAATATGGATGGGGACGGTTCTAATTCTGGTTCAAACTCTGGCAGCACCGGACTCACACAAGAGATCGATATAATGGATATTGGCAGCAGCACGCCAAAGAAGCGTAAAGCAGTTAACGGCGTATTGAAGATACGTTCGCTCTCAGATGATGATATGCCACAAGTGCTCAATGAGCATGTCACAAATGTAGTCTTCTCAACGCCTGTTTCATCACAAAAGATACCACGACGTGATGGTGGTCTGTTGGGTAAACTAAAAGCCACACGATTTGCTCTACCACCATCGATAGATGTGAAAAAATCTGAACAAATTGTGGAAAAAGCGTCGAGTGTGCAATATTTAAAAATGGCAGTTGATGATCCCACCATGTCGCCTATTAATTTGGGTAATAATGTGCCGAAAACACCGAAATGTATCAATACACCATTTCGTACACCAAAATCGGTGCGTCGGGGTGTTGGTCGTCAGTCTAGTGAACGCATACTGGGCACACCAGACTACTTGGCTCCTGAATTGTTGTTGCGGCAAGGTCATGGTCCAGCTGTGGATTGGTGGGCACTCGGTGTTTGCTTCTATGAATTTTTGACGGGTGTACCACCGTTCAACGATGAAACACCACAAAAAGTTTTCGACAACATTCTAAATAAAAGTAAGGGGGTGGCAAAATGATTACTGTAAACAATAAATTAAACGACTATAAAATCAATGCATTTCTAACTTCCAGATATTGAATGGCCAGAAGGTGATGAAGCTCTTTCGGCAGAAGCAATGGAAGCTGTCGATCAACTGCTTACAATAGATCCCGCTGAACGTCCTGCAGCAAAAGAGGTGCAACAAATGCGTTTCTTTGAGTCGATAAATTGGAAGAATATCGAGAATGAAGAACCACCGTTTATACCAACGCCTGATGATCCAACCGATACGGGATATTTTGAGGCGCGTAACAATTTGCAACATTTAAAATTATCTAACTTTACACTAGACGAGTAGAACGGTGGTGAAGGCTGTGGTGGCGGTGGCCACGGTGGCGGGCGAGAGTGAGCTGTAATATATATTAGTGTATTAAAAGTACAACCAATAAACTGAAACATGCAGGAGCTCCTTACCCAATTAGACTGTTTATTTTGTTTGATTAGTATATATATATATTTTTTTTTCTATTAATTTTTCTTTATATTCATGTTTATTTTTTGTAGTTAATTTATCTGTTAGTGGTAATGTTTTCATGAAATCATTCAACATGGCAACTTTCTTATGTGTAGTAATATTAAATGTTATCTACTTGTGTACTACTATGTAACGCGATAATCAATTTACCATGTCTATATATATATATTTATACATAAATATTTACATATGTGCAAATGCTAAACAAAACAGTAATATATGTGTTAAGGAATTTTTCAATTTCTTTATATGATTATTATGTCAATAACCATTCATTTTGTTCTTGAAAATGGATATATGCATGTATGTATGTCTGCAAGTGTATTTGCCCACACTTTTGCAACAAATAACATTTTTTCATTATTTGTTTTAATTGCACACATTCACATTGGCCATCTATTTATTTTACTCAAATATATTTTAAATGTTTTGTAACAGTTTTTTTTTTATATAAATAGTATGTATCATATAAAGATCTTTTACGTAATAAACGATATTTGCACGAATAAATTGTATATATGTATATGTATTTATAATAAAACGATATGACTGCTGTTGCGGTCTAATTATGTTACAATTTAAAAACAAATTGTGTAGAGAAGCAAAGCGTTAGTGTTGTTTTTGTAATTTATATATAACTCTTAAATCAAATCATAATTTTATGCCTGTTGCCTGCCACGAGTTGGTGAATTATGTAGGTCATTCAGGCTTACATTTTGTGCTTTTCCTTCCACTCAATTTGTATTTGATTTGCTGTTTAATGGGGAAATATGTATTGTAAATTGCTTTTTGATTGCATTTGTGGCCAATAAACCAGTAAACTAGTGCCCACCAGGTAAATCGTTTTGTTAAACTTTAAAATTGCATATTCTGTTGCTGTTTAGCGTTTGGGTCAATCGGATTTGCCGTTGGTTATTTTGGCTATGCTCACATCTGCATGTATGTACATACATACATTCATATGTACCACATGGTGAATTTTTGCCATCTTCATTCTATTTGAGTACCGAACGGTGAATTGAAATATTTAAGCGGCTAATATCCTAACCAAGAAAAACACACGGAGGGTGAGTTTATAACATCACGGCGAAGCCGTAGCTTCAAAGAAGGATGTATTGCAAGCAAAGTTACTACCAACAGAGACTCTGTTCTTTGTCATCCTGACAAATAGTGCTGCTAACCGACATTTCGCTTTCCCCAGACAAAAACTTGCACTTGCCTTAATTGCGAAACCTACCCGGGATGGTAAAGTCTTGGAATTAAAGTCGCCCAGCAGATATCACAACAGCACTAACGCTATCACTTCCGAAATAACGAATGCCCTCTCCTGCGGGTTGATACAGCGATCCCATAAAGAAAATCAAATCACAGGCTTCAAGGTATTACAGAAAGATTGAAAGGATTTTAGTGTTTTTAAACTAAGGCTAAGCTCCCAAGGATGCAAGGCAATCAATTAAGAAGGACCGATTCCTCTCTGCTGAGTTTACCTTACCATCCCTATTCTAATATGATCTGGTAATCTATAGGCATCAGGTCGATACCTCTTATTCGCAGACTCATAATATAGGCTCATAAAGACCTTCAGCCCGGCATCCATCCAATCTCTATCTAAGCGACGAAATTGCTATTGAACGTCATATCCATATGGAATACACATTTAACATATGGAATACACATTTATCGTCCTAGCTTGGCATGAGTTTATGATGCACTCAAGGCATCCGACGTGAAACTTCGAAAAATCGAGGTTCCGCAGGGTGATGCCATTCTCCGCTACTGTTAAAATTTTACATATCGAAACTCTCTCCTCCACCAGAAGGAATTACCTTAACCTCGTATACCGATGATTGCACGTTATTGGGGTCTGACCACACTTCTTCACTGCACGACAGTTAAAAACACAGCCATCTAAATCCTCGGCTAAGCCTCCTCACCAGTTGGACGAATGAGTAGAGGCTTCAATCGAATATGAAGATCGATAACGTAAAAATTCAGACTATGAACAATCCAAAGATACTGGGTGTTACACTTAATAGTCTGCACTCCTTCACTCTGTATACGACCGCAATTGCCGCAAAACTACAGAGCCGCAACAAAAAAACTCAAACCTCGAGTCGGCAGCACCTGGGGTAAAGACAAAGAAACCTTGCTGGCAACTTACAAAGCCATTGGTCGGCCCGTCGTAAATTATGCTGCGCCAATCTGGGCGCCGGGGACGAAGGAGACGCACAGGTTTGCCAAAAAACCTCCTTAGGGCCGCGCCAGGAAACCTCCTGATGTCGCCGGAGCATAACATCCACAGCATAGCATCTACGCTACGAGTTAAGGAGCATAATGCTTTGCTCTACGAGCAGTTCCTATTGGACAAGGACGAAACGTCATTCACCAGAGGTCAGTTAACACTTTTAAATACTCCGTTCTCGTGAATGACGTGCTCGGAGGAAAAAACTCAACCCTTTGCAGACAACGAGCTCGAGCTGCCTCGAAAGCCCCGCGAGACTCTCACACATCTTAGGTCTGTATACTGTAGCAGGTTAACCTCCCATCTATCCAGACTTGATCCCGACATACCCAACGCATTTTCTGCATGCAGTCAGTCCCCGCACGACTTTATCCACCTCTTTATGTGCCCCCTAAAACCAGCTCATTTGGAGCCTAGGTGAGCTGATGCCTGGTGATTACTTCAAACAACCAAACAATCAAGTTACACTCAGTGTGGCTGACAGTCAGGCTTAAAATCTATACCGACCGGTATCACACGAGTCTTTAGTATCTTTAAAGATTCTGTAGACGCCATTTGATATCGAGGAGGCTATGAGAAAGTTCGGCTTACTATGTCTTCTTCATTCTGTATTTTTTTTTTATTTTGCAAACATTTCAACAGTAAAAAGAATCTGTTATGCGTATTATATGCGCTATGGGACAAAGTATTGATGTGACTAGCGACCATGTGGACGCCGCACTGCAGCGAACCAATTACATTTTATTACAACAATAACAATAACAAGCACATATAAACCAAAAGTAACAATAAGAAGGACATGCAAATTGTAGGCGCTCACTCAGCACAGCCATTGTGGCAGTGGTCCAGTTGGCCAATTGTCCTAGAAAATGCTATTCAAATGTATTACTCCCCGCAAGCGCTGCTGCTTTTCTCGCATTGCCGAATGTCCGTGGAGTACACTTTTGCGCGCAACTGAAGTGCCCGGGCAGTGGGGTGAGGAGGAGAGGAAGGTCTAAGTATTTGCCAAAAAAAAAAAAAAAAATTGCACTCTCATTGTCCTTGCTGTGGTTTAGCTTTTGTCAAATTTTTCATTATTTTCTTCTTATTATTGGCGTCCTTCCACATTTTCCGCATTTCCTCTCTTTGCTGTGTTTTCTTTTTTTTTGGCACTCGAAATTGGTCTCTAATGCAAAATCGTATTGTTTTGATAACTGAGGTCATTTACCCAAATGCGAGAGGGTATTATAGACATACATATATGCATATGTACATATTTACAAAATGAATTAATATATTTGTTTGTATATACGTGTATGTATGTACAAATGAGCCCACGTGCATTGGTGCGCTAAATACTTAAAATTTATTTACTCTTCAATAGAGGAAAATGGCTTCAATACCAAGAAATTAAAACCAAGGCGTTCTTATACAGGGTTTTCCAATAAGAGATGTTATTTTGATATTCAAAGAAAAATGACATTTTTTGAAATAAATGACCGGATGATAAATATGCCATCAATAAGGAAAACAATATTAGCGAAATGACTAAGCATGCAAGACAGTATCCTTTGTATTCCAAATTTGAGCCCTTGAATAGACGTCGGCCCCAATAAAAGAAGCCGCAAGGTGTTGACTCACAAGATCTTGGTGGTCCATTGCAAGCACCCCTTCGCAAAATAATACAGTCCGATAACTTTCCACTTAAAGCATCGATGGTTTCGTTGCTTGTGTGGCACGTCGCGCCGTTTTGTTGAAAATAAATGTTGTCCACATCCATACCATCCAATTCCGGCCATAAAAGAAATATCATTAATCATTTGTCGATATCGCAATCAGAAAAGTACGGTTCATTTACCTCACTCTATCATAAACCACACCGAACAAATTACACGTTCAGGATGGAGAGGTTTTTTCACAATAAATCTCGGGCTTTTAGAGTCCTCACATGCGACAGTGGCGAAGGTGAGAATGAAGTTCATCAGTGAAGATGATTTTTCAAGGAATTTCCGAATCATTTTCATACATTTAACGGCCGATCGGATTGAGTTTACTGAACTTTGTAAGTTTTAAGACCGCAGTCTTTGTACAAAATACGTTGTGTAGTATGGCCAATGGATGGGCAAACCTGGGTTTTCTTCAATACTTTGGGCTACAACAGCAATATTTTCAGTTTCCCAAGAGCTACATTTTTTTCCATCAATTTCTGTATTGCGGTCCGACAAGGTGCTCCACTAGGAAAATTTAAATATATTAATTGTATTCAAGTTTTATTGTATGTATTTCAAAAATGGTGAAATTATGCATGTCTTATGGCTGTCAAACGATAAAGGATGACGGAAATACGAAAATGAGTTTGAAGATGTTCTTCCGTGTAAGCCGGCCATATTAACTCAACATTATTATGGAATTCATTCGATTCTGTTTAAATAAAAACCAAGCAAGAGCTTTATATTTCATTCTAAATGCTACTAATGTTTTGATTTGTACATCGTCGTCGTTTCCGGAAGCTTAAAAATGCATTATTGTCACTGTTACCGTTACAACAACCTTACTTCGCAATGTTTAGCGGCTCATTCGGCCCACACATCCTTCTATTGTTATTATAGAAATTCAAAATCAACTTGCGATACAAAAAATTATTACACACCCCAATTCTATGACCTCTTAACTTCTAATTTCTCAACGCAGGGTGGGTTTTATGCACTCCACTGCCACTACATTTTCGTTTAACGAGTGCCTTTATTATTGTTGGAATCATTGATATTGCTCAGTTAAATGAAACAACACTTCATTTAACCACTTATTTTGTTGGTCTATCATTCATATTACAGAACTAAAATTATTTTCATTTTAAATCAATTTTGGTTTGTTGACAAAAATTCAATCAAATAATCACAAATCAGCTGTTTTTCATACTTCCTAGTTTTTACTGGGTCAAATTTTCTCAGCACGAATTCGCAACTTTCTCTCCAACTAAAGTCAAAATTGCGCTCTCTCGTTACCAATTTTTTACTGAGTTTTCGGTTCAACGAACACGATCCAGTAAAGTTTTGTAAAAATTGCTACTGCCCATCTGATCAACGAACCAAATTACGCTGCAAAAAGGCTTCCGATCATTTGAGCCAACATATGTCAGCAATGCATGATGTCATATACCCTCATATCGCAGAACGATTTTCCCGTCACGGCATTAAGACGAAATTGCAAATGTGATGGTTACATTTGTGTACGTCTATAGGTGATATTCTCTCTTCGTTTCCTCGTGCATTTAAGCCATTCTTGTAATACAAGTCAAACACTGATGAGAGACGAGAGATGAGAGAGCTGTCGAAGGAACTCAGCTTTGACAAAAATTTCCCTACATATTTTACATACATACAAACATTATTAAGATTCAGTATTTATTTCTATAATATTTTTACATAGATCAGGTACATAGTTTACATAGCATACAAAGAAATAGTAATACAGCAATATATTCATTTTCGAAAATCTGCAAAGTATAGTAAGCAAACCGCATATACAGAAGACATTAATAGTGCCATGCGTTGCTGACGCAGCTCCTCAGCTCCTCGAACGCTTCCGTCATAATCGCGGTTCCTTTGAAGTATAAAGACGTCTAAGTAAAATAAAAAAAATTATCATAATGTTTTTAATATCTAAACGCAGTTGTACCTCACAAAGTTTTGTCGGATATTTTTAAATCTGTTACTGCAGAAAGACAAGAAGCGTCCATTCCAGTCAAACTGACCCATTAACTGATCCTTCCATACGATATGGAGTGCCTTTAAATAAACAAGGATCTTCAGCATGTATATTTTACTTTTATCTATTATGGAGAAAACGATAAAAAATTGCGTTCTACTAGAAAATAAGAACAGAGTAAATCGGATAATCCATTCAACTGCAGAAGAGAAAGATAAACCAAAAAAATGTGCATATGTGTTAGTGCTGCTCGAAATCGTGTGAGTGTATTGGTGTACCCATCAGCCCGTTCTTGCAGGGCAGTTTCAATGCTGGAATGTATTTTTGCTTGTAAAAATGTCAAAAACTTGCAGCTTCAAAAGTGACATCTACCGGAACAGCAGGTTATTCAAAATAACACCACTTTTTGGAAAGCTCATATTGGAAAACCCTTTAAAAGCAAATCCTGTTCCCTTTACCCTGGTAATTGAGGTAATTGAGCACCAAATTTTTTTTCTTACATATGTAGTTTTATTAGGCATATCAACAGATACGCGACATTAGTTCCAAGAGCATCCATTAGAGCGTATTGAAATAAAAAAAAAGAACTAATAAAAGTTATATTGCAGACTCGACCTGATGTTCTTGCTATTTGAACTAGTCATTTTCTTATACCGGGCTGCCCAATGACTCGAGGTCCAAGCCCATATGGCTCTGAGCTAAACTGATCAAAATATATGGAGACTTTTGATTTTCTTCAAAAGGTTTATTTTTTATTCGAGATTATGCTGGTGGTTGCAGGGTGAACGTCGTCACTGTCGTCTCTTTAACCTTCTCAAAAAGCTGATTACCTGCTAGAATAACCCTTCGGATTGTAAGTGTTTGCTGTATACGCGGTTTACACTAAATAAGGGTGCGATTAAATATATACCAACATCTGGTAAGTAATTGAGTACATATCATTTAAGGGATAGGAAATTGGCGGTTATAATCTTCCACGAAAAAGTACGTTTCAGCATATTCCAAGTAGGTAGACATTCCCCGCCGAGCGCCGACTGTAATTACAGAAATTAACTTTTCTGTAATTTTTGAATGCTGGTCGAAATAGGACTCTAACCGGGCTTTCGTATGCAGTACGCATTGCTAACCACTCGGCTATTGTGGCCAAATGAAATTGACAGCAGTGAAAGCGGTTAGTAGATCTCATACAAAATTTGAGTTGAAAGCAGTTAAGTTCGAATAGATAGTTTTATATCATGGTTTTGCCTCACATACGAGTATATACTACAAAAAGTTGCAATCCCTTCAGGCAGTCGAATTTTCCACTCAACTTGCATTCATGCTGATGAGTGCGCTCTCTGAGCAACTCGATATAAGACAAGTGTGGAACGATATTCCAAACTCGCTATATAAAGATTTGGTTTTCAACAGTGTCAGAACTGCCGAAGAGAAAACAGAGTCTACCTGCCTCCCAATGTTGCACTCCACCACTACACGTGAGATAGATGCCGAGAAATAAGGAAAGAAGCGTGACGTTCAAAAAAAAAAGCCATGAAGTAATTGACATACTGGGTACACAGGTCTGCTGAATGACAACGAAAACCCGGTTCTATTGAGCTTTCGACCGAGCGAAAATGAGTTGCCTTTAAGAGTTATGCTTGAATATGACATCATTGAAAATATTACACAGCCGAGTCGTTCGATACAAAACGAGGTTTCAACTGATGTGATTCTTTATGGTGTGTCTTCTTTTTATTTATTGCAGTATAAAATAGTAAAAACTTCACAGCTGAACAGAGAAGGTACAATCTTCTATAAGAGTTTGCAGCTGCTGGTGTACACCGATGATATTACCGTCATTGAACTCAACAACAGCGTGATAAGTTCTGCTTTCTTCAGACTTATTAAGGGAGTGAAGCGTATAGGTCTGAAAGCGAACGAAGGCAAGAAGAAATTATCCAGCAATAACATTTACCTCAATGTCAGCCTTGAAATCCAACACAGAATCATTCTTGTCAGCAGTTGCTATTTGGGACGAACAAAGATCAAACTGTTCAAGTAGCTCATCATTCCAGCTATCGTTCTGCTAAATAATGTAGAGGCTTAGACGATAACAAAATTTTATGAGACGGCGTTAAGAGTTTTTGGGAGAAAGGTGTTGCGTAAGATTTATGGTCCTCTGCGCTTTGGAAATAGCACTTACCGCAGTCAATGGAACGATATCTGCCGATATTGCCATAGTTCAACGAATCAACAGACAGCGACTACGTTGGCTAGGTCATGTGGTTCAGATGGATACTCCAGAAGAAGATGATGCACTATAGGTGCGGAGCTCAAACGCACATACGTTCCCACTTGAGCAATTCGAGCCTTATCGAGTAAAGACAAAAGTGGCCTTTTCCAAAACATTGATGCGGCTTAACAAAGAGTAATTATTGCGTACGTGAAAAACTTGATTCCTGGTCATCTATAGCTCCATAACAAACTTCATAGCCCGTAATTAAATTATAATGGAACCTTAACTTTAATAAATAGACCATGCGTGGGAAATTTTCTTTGAAACAAACTTTAAAACTACTTATCTAGTCCTTCGGTGAGGCACAGCACCTCTATGCAAATTGAAGTTGATAAAATAGGCGTGTGCAGTGCTAATGATGAAAATCCATTACGACTCCTAACACAATGCATACATACAGACAAACAAATGCATGCCCAAGTGAGAATAGCAATTATTCAATAGTGTCTATGCGTCAACGCATGTTGAACTAAGCAACACACACTACAAATTACTAGCTTCTGGCGCACATGCATATCCACATACACATCCTTACATTACACACATGTATGTGTATGGATTGTATTGTATATAAGGACGCGCATGCCACGCTTGATAGTCACTTGAACTCCATTCGCATTTAATGCGCTAGCAGAGGTCGCGTAACGCAGCAGTTGTTTTCACTCCGGAGCAAAAGCGACAAACCGTATGTTGCGTGAAAATCAGTGAACTGTGAAAGTAATAGCTTAGCTTCGTTGCAGTGACAATTCCCTATGTAGCACATGTATGTATGTGCAAACAAAACAATTGCAACGGCACAACAACTAGACAGACGTTGGTAGTAAATCATCATCAACATTAGCAAACCAATAGAACGGTTGAGGCGTTAGGAGAGTTGGAATTGTTGCCACAGCACAGCAGGAAGCTTGTGATTTCGTACATATATATGATATATAAAGTGTAACGCAGTGGCTTGAAATGAAGTCAACATCCAATGCTATTTGGTGGATAAAAAGTCCAAAGAAAGCAGAGAAATGGGCGGCAAAAAAGCGAAAGCAATCAGTTGGTAGCACATTCAGCAATGATATGACGAATCTATTTCGCAATATATCGATGCATGCCTATGGGAAGTTGGTGGATAGAACGTTGAATATATGGGAGAAGTGAGTACACACATACATAATACATACATATACATTCGTAAGTGTATTAATATAGAAGAGTGAGAGATGTAAGCAAGTAGATAATTGGCGACGAAAATATGACTGTACAAAAAAGTTGCTCATACGCCGTGTACGACAGCAACCGAATTTCTAATTACTCATTGGATTTTGGAAAAATTAAATGACTTTCAGAAAAATCTCTATTGCGTCGATTGTGTCAAACTAACAAGTTTTTGAAAATTGACATTACAGGGAATATTTTTCGAAAAGACAGTTCTGTAAATCGTCCTTCTTGTGAAAAATTATCAGGTGTACAACTTTGCGTCCGCCGTTTTTTTCTAAAATTAAAAGCTTTATTTCGAAAAAGTGCTTACAGATATATTATTCAAAGTATTGTCCTACGCTAGCGATGACTTTCTCCCATCTTTCCGGCAATTTTCGGGTACCGGGTCGAAAAAGGAGTCCTCTTTTGACGCTATCCATAAAGCAATCCATTTTTCGAATTCTTCGAAGGATTGAAAATGTTGATCTGCCAGGCCGTGTGCCACCGAACGGAATAGGTGGAAGTCAGAAGGGGCGACATCTGGGGAATACGGCGGATGGGGCAAGACTTCCCATTTCAGCGTTTCCAGGTACTTTTTGACCACTTTTGCGACGTGAGGGCGAACATTGTCGTGTTGGAGAATGACTTTGTAATGTCGCTCTTGTCGCCGCTTTTCTTTTGGCGCCGTGAATATTCGTTGAAACCACTCCCGACACGCTCTTTCACTCAGATCAGCATCACCGTAAGTTTCTGAGAGCATTCGATGCGCTTCAGCTGCATTTTTTTTTTCGAATTGTAACAGAAAAGTAAAACTTGCCGCAAATCGCGAGAATTAGGCACATAAACGGATATTTTCGAGCGTGAATAATACGAAAACAAGAACAACTGTCACTGAAACGGCGATGACAATTCGTTAGGCACTGTCCACATTCACTTTAAAGGCATTATGATCTATGTATTTCAACCAGCCTCAGCCGGTACAGCCACATATCGGAGAACAGCGGAAGCAAAGCTGTACACCTGATACTTTGATTTGAAAATGAGTTAAATTCCAAAAAAAGGGCTATCTTTGGCGATGTCGATGTCAGGACAATCAAATTCATGGTATTTCAATTTAGGTTCAAATATTAATTCTCATATCTCAACAAATCGGTTGCATAGAGATAATCAGCTTAATTCCAAATATTTTCGCGAAAATTCTCCCTTGCGGTCCGCCTATTCTAAATGTACAGGGAAAATGATTTTTTGGGAGTACGATTTTTTCTCTTTCGAAATCAACTATTAGTATTATTTTGTGTTATTGACCTTTGATAATTTGGTGAAATAAACAATTTTTATTAAAAAAAAATTTAATTAGAATCTGTTGGCTGCTGCAGCAAATGTGGAAAACTGGCAACGAATTCTTCTTCAACGTAGATAAATTCTAGACCAAGGCAAACAGCCACGCCGCTTTGCAAGGTCTCCTGCTCCAGCAATCCCAACTTCCTCGACTCTTTCATGCCTTCGGGAGGGGTCAATTTACGTTCTGCATTGGGGTCACCTCCAATCGGGAAATCTCCCGGGGAACTTTCATTTAGAATAGGACTCTACATAATATAGTCTTTCAATTTCTAAGATTTTCAGTGACAATTTTTATTTGTTCATACGTGTGTAGACAAATTTTTGACCCAAAACATCAAATCGGGAAAATTGGTCGTATATATGTGCACCAGAAATATCTCAGAACCTGAACGACTTCTTTGCTTGAAACAGACGGATAGACCGACATAGCTATTCAAATCATCATTCCGACTAGATCCGAATAACTTCTTATCGATCTATCTCCTCATCCTTCTGGTACTTACATACTTCGTACCAAAGTTATTATACTATTTCATGTACAGGATATAAAAAGCTGTGTGGCTTACGGTAAGAAAAGAGTGAACGCCGGATTTTGGAAATTTTAATATCAAAGATGTACCTTGTTCTGGTCACCTAGCCTGTCAGTAAAGCAAGGCCAGCATAGCAGGAGATAGCGGAGGGATTAAGAATCGCAAACGTATTGGTTTATAATTATAAATAGATTAAAAAAAAGAAATCAAGGCCAAAAACTAGTGACCCACCAAAAACTATTTTAATACACATTTCACCAATATTGATTCCACTGACTCGCTTTTTTTGATACAGACCTACTTACTGAGAATTAAGTAAATACCCTCACCTTTTTCCCCTGCAATTTTATAGCAGCTGATGAACAAATCTGTAAATATTTAGTGCAAGAGGCAAGTGTAACCCCGACCTTCCGTGATCGGTTTCGGGTTCAGGGCAGTCCGAACTGTTGGGCTTTTGGATTATGCCTCAGACGAATTCAAGGTCATGCTGAGTGTATGATTGGATTAGAAGAGAATTGTGCATTATGAGCTACTACAACTTGAAAAAAATTCTATTCTAATTTGTAGAGGCAGTTTTGTGCTCATCATCCAAATGCCAGACCTTATACATCTTTGATGACCAAGTACATATCGATGGAGCTTCGTTGCTTGAGTTTTGATGCATCCGCAATTTAGACCGGACCTTACACCATCTGACTACCATTTGCTTCGGTCTCTGCAAAACTTTCTTGATGCCGACGTAACTCCACTGCATGTGGTTCAATCACCCAATCGACATATGTTGGCTTTAGTTGTTGTGTGAGCTATACTTTAAATGGACATAGGTGTCAGTACAAGTGCAAGATACGGCATTGTGGGCCGTTAGAAAGTCCCAGCCCTTGAGAATCGGTTCTTTGACTTTAAATATCTTTAAAATTTTACCACTTTCATGATAAGTCGGTGCACCTTAATCTGTTCTTAAAGCATGAAAGTTGACCACGTTAGAATCACCACTTTTTTTTTTAGAAAATTTGAACGCGTTGGGTGGTTGTTAAGCTATTCATTTTCATAAATGCCTGATTTTCAACTAAAGCCAGACATGTTTGGTTTGACAGTTAAGTTTGACAGTTGTCATAATATGGCCCTGCACTTATGAAATCATGAAATGGATAACCCTATATATAATTTTTTTTTCGCTTCCTGTAAAGAAGAGTAATTCTCCTGCTGATCTAAGCAAAACGCACCGAATTTCAATTAAATCGAAGTAATTTCCGGTTCCACCTCTCGGAGAGCAGAGCAGTTTTTCTGCTAATTTTTCTAGTAATCGGTCACATACATATGGACTAAATTTCAAAAAAAAAAAAAAAATTAAGCCATAAATACGGTTTTTTCAAATAGGTCAGTCTTGGCTTAAACTTTAACTGAACTTCCACAAACATTTCAAGATCAAAATTAGACAAATCGGTTCAGCCATTCGCGAGTTATACGAATACCTACATTTCGCCGATTCATTTTTGTATGTATAAAAGAAGATATTTAAACAAAACTATACTATCTGTGCCAAGTTTTCTAAGCATTATTGAGTGATATTTCTTGAATATTGGAAGAAACTTGAACGCCAGCTGACCGTGGCGTATGAGTAACTTTTCGATAAGCGATGAACATCGTGTAAATAATTAAATTAATTAAAAAGTTTATTACATGATATGAGTTATGTCAGCTGATGAATGTCCTACGCAGGTTCTCAAATCCCACCTATATATTTTGACACTTGTCAACATGCTTATTCACAGGATATACTCGTATATATGTATGTGTCTATTGTATTGTTTACGTCTTTCCAGATTAATTTGGCTCGCTGTACATGTGACAACAATGATTGCACTGGTAATGATTTTGGCATTGATTTGGGAACAATTTGTTGCACAATATATTGTCATCAATCTATACAATCCGTTATATCCCATTGAATCGGTGGCATTTCCATCCATTTCCATTTGCTCAAACAATAGAATATCGTATGAAGCGGCGTTGGCGCATGCTAAGGAGCTGTGAGTTTGACATTTCACTACTATTAACAATTAAAGACAGCACACTAATACACATACATACATATATTCATACACGTATGTGTATATACACATTTATTTATAAGCGTATTTTTACAAAGTAGATTTATGTCTATACGATGTAGACAGCATATAATTATATCGTGTACATAAAGATATGTAACGATGACTTATAAACAGAAAATGGTAATGGTAACTACCTCTATCTTGCAGGTCTTGGAGTTTATTGGCACGTTATACTATGTAAAAGGTCAATAGTTCAAGCCCTGGTCAGACCTACATCCAAATTTATACAAAATTAATTTTTCTAATTGCGGTTTCCACTCGGCAATCCCTGCCGAGTGCCTTCTGAGTGTATTTTTGACATGAAATAAAACTTACTAACTTTAATGGCGTAGACACCGCTTACGCGTTTATAGCCGATTTAACCAAATTTCGCCATTCATTTCATGAAATAAAAGCTCCTCATAAAAATCCAGTAGGTCCTTCAAGTTTTTGGAACGCACAACAATTTCCCGTACTGACTGTTCTTTGTAAGTTTTAAAAATCTGAGCGAAAAATTACGTTTAGTACATAATGTAATTCATTTTTTTGAAATAGCCACCATTTCTCTCAATCCTCTTTCTAATCCTCTGTTGAGAATCTTCTTCCACCCTTGACAGTCTATCGTTACGGAGAGTTTTTGATTAAATTTTTTCCAACATTTCGTCAGTCATAATTGAAGGACTTCCGCTCCTCTGGCGACGCTGCTTATTTCGTGAGCTGTCACGTCGACAGCTCCCAATATACTGACCTCTTACCGGTCTCGTTGCAAAGAAGAGAAGTTTGGCTGAACTAGGACGAATATGAAATCCCTCCAACTTTGATAGCCCCATTACACTTTCTAAACGTCGTATATATATTATATTAGAATCCCATGCCCCACGTTGTGGTGGCTATAGATTCATTAAACTCAAACCAAACTGCAGCCGCTCACATCATACAAATTTTCAACTGTCAGATCTATTGATCTGAGATCTCATTTCCCAAAATAAGGTATTCCCCATGGTAATCTAGGCAAAAAAGCTACGTACGAGTGGGTCAATCTCTGATCCACTACCTGTATGTATCTAACCGTTTAAGTCTTTCACCAATATTTCAAGAACAAAATCAAATTACGCCAGCCATTTTTGTATTTATGTCTTCCATAAGACGATTCTAGAAAAGGATACTTTTCGGGTCTTTATCAAGCAAATTTAGTTGGGAAGAGTTGAGATGATTAGATATTTGACTAGATTGCTACTACAACCTTAGTTGAAGGTCAATTTCAACAAAAAGGTGGCTTTCACTTAGGTTTTCCTATAAAGTAAATTTGAAATTTGTCAAGCAAAACTAGATTTTGATACGACTTGTCTTTGCAGTGATGCACTATTTGAGCACACTTTCAGATGATCGGAACTTTATGGCGAGGCGAGGCTTATCTTATCTTTTGTACGAACATATTTCATATTGCCCAGAAAGACGTTAACTTCAATGTGACCTCTTCCAGTGTGCAATATCGGATCTCTGTTATCAGCCAACGAAACCGTGGAAGACCTTCCGACGGAGTGGAGGACTACAATAGGAACCATAAGTCGTTTGCAAAACTTTTCTCTCGAGGACTGCTAGAGCCGACTCATCAGATATTGATATCGTCCACGCTTTTGCGCCATATAGTAGAACTGGTATGATGAGCGACTTGTAGAGTTTGGTTTTCGTTTGTCGAGAGAGGACTTTACTTTTCAATTGCCTACTCAGTCCACAGTAGCACCTGGAAGACGAAATTATATATGACCTCGAAGTTATGACTGTCAAAAGTGACGTAAGAGCCAAGTCAAGAGTGCGATGACTGTTTGTTTGATGGCAGGAGATATTTCATCTTGTCTTTATACACTATCAGATCCTCTATCATCTCTATCAAATCTGGAGAAAGCAGAACTCACGGTGCGGTTGCTGAGTCCAGCAATAAGCTAAAAAGGTCACACGATAAAGAATCACCTTGTCTGAAATATCGTTGGGTATCGAACGGCTCCGAGAGATCCTTCCCGTTCCTGATGGAGCTTTTAGTGCTGCTTGTGGTCAGTTTACACAGCCGTATGAGCTTTGCGGGATTACCAAATTCAGGCATTGCGGAGTATTTTGTATTAAGAAGCACTTATTGGAACCTACTACCTATGGTCTAGGGGAAAAAGTTCCAGAGTGCTTCTACAAAATTGTGTTGGCACTGTCCTGACTCAGGTCTAGCAATTTTAGATCAAACCTTCTCCACTAGAATCTTAACCGTTTCCCTTTAGGACAGCGCATCACTATTTATTTGTTTGTTATGCATTCAAAATTTCAGGGTGCGAAAGTTGGCAGCTCCCGAGATAAAAACTTATGCTCACGATTAGTCCAAGCATTGAAACCTTGTGCTAACTTAGCGATAAAAAGAAATTGGGAAATCTTTATGCAGGCTGCTTTTTTATCCCATTTTTGCTTGTCTTTAATGTTGTGTTTATCAAAGTATTTCTTTTTACATATTTTTCTATGAACAGCAGCCGTAAGGATCCCCGTCAACGCGACCCCGAGTATTTTTTGGAACATTTGAAGTTTTTCATAAACTTGTATCAGCGTAATGATCTAGAAGTTAGTGGGGAGACTTACTCAAATTTTCAAGAATTTTTGGATATCTACGACACAAGTGAAAATGAGACGTTCTACAATACACGAAAAGTGGCCGAATTGGTAAGTATTCAAATCAAAGAGAGCACACAGAATATGTAAAAAAATTTCCACATAGCGATCGAGCACAAAGAGAACTGATATTTTTGTGATTTCTTCTCATTTCTCCATCAGCTCTCGCCGTCGTGTTCAAACCTGATACGAAGTTGTAAGCTTTCTGGTCTTGACATCGATTGTTTTAGTCGTGAGACGTTTCAGAAAAGTCTGACATCATATGGTTTCTGTTGCACCTTTAATACTGGGAATTTGTAAGAGAAAAATTTAATACTACTTTTTTGCATTAAATTTTATTCTTCATTTTCTAAACAATTTCAGTTATCAGAATCGTAATATACGCGATCGTTTGGTAAACACAGATATGGGTTTAACAGTTGTGCTAAATACCAGTCATAAAGATGACTTTGTCTCTGTTTTGAAAGTAGATGGTTATATAGTGATTGTGCATAATCCGGAGGTATTCGCTGATACGACATCGGGTGAATCTCGGGAGTTGTTTTTAACGTATGGCGAAGAGTCTTTTTTGGCTTTGCATGCACTTTTAGTCTTTACCGATCCCAGTTTGAGTTCATTTAGTCCGATAACGGTATGTATGATTCTTTTTAAATTGCTGCCGTTGTTCACATAGGCACTCAATTAGCTAATTTAAGGTGTTTGAATTATTTAAATTAGTATTCTAACATTTCAAAAAATACTCCGGAAGATGGTGTATAAGGTCTGGCAAAAACAAAATATATTAATTTTGTAATAAGTTGAAAGTTTTATTCGTCATTATTAGAATTATCCGGCTCATGATAAATACTCATATTCACCATTTTACTCGATAACTTTTTTCAGATACGAATGCAATGCCATTATGCCTCTCTTATGGAAACCCTTGTCCCTATCGATTTTCAAATGCTTTTCTGTCATTCGCCATGGACAGGAACAGATGGTAATCACGTGTTGACTTAATGCAATCGGCCACGTCTGTTTTATTTTGACGTGAGATTCAGTCGATGTGTCGGTTCTGCTACCATAATAAAGAAGCGCCGTCTTCTGCCGCCGTCAACTTTATGCATTTCAGGATTAAATATTAACTCTCATTTTTGGAAAATTGATTGTAGGGAAGCTATAGCTGTAGCCCTCCGATATCGATAATTCACAATATTCCAAGTTCCTGAAGAGTATATAAAATGATGGGGTAAATTTAAATGCTTCTTTTCAATTAAATGCATTTTAATGATCAACTTACGTTGAAAATATTATTTAAAATAGTAAGAAAAAAACTAAAGATGGGGATTGAGAAAAGCAAGCGTGAGTGACATCGGATTTGTGAGAGATATTCATTGCGATTTGTGCAAAAATTTTTTTTTTTACTAATTATCTGAAGTTAATTGAATGTGTGTAAACACTGAACTCCGGCATGCAATTTAAAAAGTACAATTGTCTCAGCTAAATTCCCTATTTGTTCATACTCACCACGGCAGAGCAATGTTAACGACAATTTCACCTTTTTGACTTTCAGCGTAAATGCTATTTTGAAAATGAGTTTTCACACTATGAGATGGGCTCACAGTGGAATTATAGTTTTTCAAATTGTATAACACGCTGCCGCATACGTAGTATGGTGGCATTGTGTAATTGTATACCATTTTATATGGATACAAAATTGTTGATAGAGACAGATGGCGTAATCTATTGTACACTCCAGCATGTGCCGTGTCTGTTGAGTTATAAGTGTAAGTATGGTACACACTGAAGAGTTAAATAAAATAAATAAATTTTTATTATTGCATATTTTCATTGACAGTTAAATGGAGTAATGTATTAACCCACCGTAAACTTTTGCCTGGCTTGGAACGTGCTTACGAAGAGGCCCTCTACTGCCCAGAATGTTTACCAGGTTGTAATGATATTCAATATGAAGTCTCATTAATGGCTCTACCAATAGATCGATTCATTGCTGGGAGTACGGCTACGTGAGTATTATAGATAATTATAAGATAGGTAATTGCACGGAAGATGGTCTTTTTGGAGAGGTAGAAATATAGTTTAAAATATTTTATTATATAGACTTATACCATATAAAGGGTCATGGATATGATTCCTGGCCGAACCAACACCCAAGATTATAGAAAATTTCTTTCTTATGCTGCGTTGTCTCCTTGACAGGGAATTTTAATACTAGAAGTGCATATCTGACATAAAATAGAAGTCCATTTTGAAAATCCATTAGCCGTTCCGGTGTGGCTTAGAATAAACTGTAGGTCTGAACTTACTTGGTACAGTTCACAATAGACTAGTAGCTAGAAAATCCAGAGATGGTCAGATTTGAGTTACAAGGTGTTCTCAGATACATTCATACATACAATTGGCGCTTTGTATCCTCTGCAGCGATTTTCGGCCGATCGCCTCCTCAAATTTGTGGTTATGTGTCTTTATGTTTTTCAAAACAAATGAAAAGACCTATAATTTGTACTAATCCGATTCCGAACGATTAACTGATGTTTATGAGGAGCCTTTTTTCGTGTTAGAAATGAACTCGGAGGGTTTGATATTTCCTACAAAGGGGTGACTGTAATGATCAGGTGTACAACTACACTACTACACAACTACAGTCATTTTTTTTCAAAATTAAAAGCTTTCAAGCGACTACTTTCTCCCATATTTCCGGCAATTTTCGGATCCCGGCTCGAAAAAAGGAGTCCTCTTTTAACGCTATCCATGAAGCAATCCATTTTTCCAATTCTTCGAAGGATTGAAATTGTTGAACTGCCAGGCCGTGTGCCATTGAATGGAATGGGTGGAAATCAGAAGGGGCGACATCTGGGAAATACAGCGGGTGGGGCAAGACTTCCTATTTCAGCGTGTCCAGGTACTTTTTGAGCACTTTTGCTCCATGTCCCTCGGTTTCAACTCGTAAAAAAATTAACTTAATTATTTATTAAACAGATATTATTAAAACAAAAAATGTATATTTATAAGTCGTGCATTCTTTGAAGGGTTTCGCTAAATGAAAGAAATTGAAAACGCTTTTTCGGAAAAAAGCAGATAATTAATTAAATAAATATTATATTGAAATGTAAAAAATTAACGATTGCAAATTTTAATATTGCAGAGAACTAAATGCAACCGGCTTGGATTTCGAAGAAATGTCTGTGCTGCGTGTTTACTTCGATGAGCCACACGCTAAATATTATACGCGTGTGGTGGGAAATACTTGGTACGAGGCAATGTGTAAGTAATAAAACTAGAATTTTTAGTAAAATATAACAATTTTTATTAGAATAATATTTTAACGCACTAGTTTTTTTTTTTAATTTTTGTTGAAGTTTTACATTTTTATTTCCCTCCACATTTCCAGGCACAATTGGCAACGTCACCTCTATATTTCTTGGATTTTCGATTGTTGCTGTTTTTGAGATTTTATATTTTAATTTTAAATATATAATACTTGCCATAAAAGCGGCCATAAGCCAGGACAAATTAACACAACGAAAGGGCAAAAAGAAAAACAAAGAAGTGGATATGCCACTCTATATATGTCCTTGAAAATTTACATATTCCTGGGGAATATCAGTATGTTTATAGTAATATTGTATATAATTGAAAATAAAATAACCATTATCCTTTGAAGTTTTGCCAAGTCTTTGAATTGATTTTTAATTACACAGCTGTACCATGCCGAGTTTATTAAGCTTTTTCATCCAACTTTTAATTTAGTCTTATAAGTAAGGTAAGTAGTACCCACTTTTAGGTCAAAAAGAATATCTCAGAAGCCACTGGACAGAGACATTATTCATTAAAATTGCTTATAATGTTCGTGCTCTGGGAGGAACACGAATTGAATGAGACGCAATCGGACAACAACTCTGCCTTTGTCCCATATAACAGATCTTTACTACCCACAACTGCTATAATCAACATAGAATACTTAAGGCAATATTTAACAGAACTCAAGAAAACTTGGTAGGTATTCTAAGAGAGGACTCTACTAGTATTATTTCGTGCCGTGCTCATCTGTGGCTGTATTCATTTTAAAGGTACTGTCATTTCGCGTCAGTTTCAGTAGAGGTCATTTGTTTTAGCGTGAGCAACAATTTGTTTCATTCATTTGAAAATGTCGAAATTTGTACCAGATAAAGTGTTTTTGCGGGGAGTTCTTCTTTCTTACTTTAACATGAAGAAAAGTGCTACCGAAAGCCATCGTATTTTACTGGACGTTTATGGTGACCATGCTTTAGCGGAACGAACGTGCCAAAAGTGGTTTGCACCGTTTTAAAGTGTCAATTTCGACTTAGATGACGCACAGCCAAAAAAAATTTCAAGATAAAGAATTGGAGACATTGCTTGACGCAGGTGCATGCCAGACGCAAAAAGAACTTGCAAAAGTATTAGGAGTTGATCAAGCATTAAAGCCAAGAGACGTCGAACGTCGGTTTTGCATGTCGGAAATGGTGCTTCAACGCCACCAAAAGAAGTCATTTTTGCTTCGGATTGTCACTGGCGATGAAAAATGGATTCATTATGATAATCCAAAGCGCAAGAGATCGTATGTTAAGCCCAGCCAACCATCGACAAACACGGCAAAGCCGAATATTCACGGTGCCAAGGTTATGCTATGTATTTGGTGAGACCACAAGGGTGTGCTTAATATGAGCTATTGAAATCAGGTCAGACGATCAATGGGGACCTCTACCGAAAACTATTGATTCGTTTGAAAAAGGCCAAGCCGGAGAAGTTCTTTTGGAATGGGATTCACAAACTGCCAGAAAGATAGGGCAATTATCGTAGCTTCCGATGGGCAAAACTTTGAATATTAAATGTATAACAATTTTTTCACAATAAAGTCTTAATTTTTGAAAACAACCGCACGTATTAATGCATACACCCAGTATAAGTATGTATACGCGTTATATAGTATACGAAAACTGGAGCTGCCTTGCCGCCTTTTCATTAATTAATGTATATGATAATGAGTTTCAATGATCTGCCGAAAAATACCAGTATGGGTCCACAAACAAGTCAACCACATAACTGACCTTTTAGTCCTTATTTACTGTTATATAACGTCCACTGTTTTTTTTTTTTGGTAAAGAAGCAGATATAGCAATGGTTTAATGCTTACTTCTCACTTCTCTAACAACAGAACAACAGATAGGCCGCCTGTCGTTGAATTAAATAACAGCGGAGTATCCAATATTCGCTTTCACTCGAAATCAGTTTTCTTTCTATTGGGTTGCCCAAAAAGTAATTGCGGATTTTTTAAAAGAAAGTAAATGCATTTTTAATAAAACTTAGAATGAACTTTAATCAAATATATTTTGTTCGATAACCTTTTGCCATCTTCCTGGCAAATTTAGTATTCCACGCTCATAGAACTTCTGGCCTTTATCTGCAAAAAACTGAACCAAGTGCGATTTTATAGCCTCATCATTGCCGAAAGTTTTACCATTTAAGGAGTTCTACAAAGATCGAAATAATTGGTAGTCTGATGGTGCAAGGTCAGGGCTATATGGTGGATGCATCAAAAGTTCCCAGCCAAGCTCACTCAGTTTTTGGCGAGTGAGCAAAGATGTGTGCGGTCTAGCGTTGTCCTGGTGGAATATGACACCTTTACGATTGACCAATTCTGGTCGCTTCTCCTTGATGGCTGTATTCAATTTGTCCAATTGTTGACAGCCGAATTCATTGTGTTTAAGGTGCATATCACAAGCGTTAATTCGGTGTGTTAAATGAATTTCTTTCAATACATTTGGTACCCAAATATCAAGCTTTTTCAGCAGTCCGAGACTTTTTATGTGATAATGAACGGTTGATTTTGGTATATTTAACTTCTCTCCTATCTCACGCTCAGTTACATGACGATCCAATTCGATTAATGCTTTGATTTGGTCATCATCAACTTCATTTGGCCTACCTGAACGTGGCTCATCTTTAAGTGAAAAATCACCAGAACGGAATTTCCGAAACCTATTTTGACACTGTCTTCCTTTTAAGGCTTCATCACCATACACATCTCGTAACTTTTTAGCAACCTGCTGCGCGTTTTTTCCTTTACGGAAATAATAAAGTAAAATATGACGAAAATGCTCCTTTGTGGGCTCCATATTAAAATTGACGCCAAACAAACAAATGTAAACAAAATTTCGCGCACTTTTTTTCTAAAGCAAGCTAAAAGTAACAGCTGATAACTGACAGAAGAAAGAATGCAATTACAGAGTCACAAGCCGTTGAAAAAATTTGTCAACGCTGACTATATGAAAAATCCGCAATTACTTTTTGGGCAACCCAATAGTTTTCGTACCAGTTTTATTGAATAAAAACATTCATGTAACCAAAAACCCGCCGTTAAATGTGGTACCCAGGACATAAAGGATAACACCGAGGTAAAAGTCTTGATTGAAAACTCCAATTGTTATGTAGTCCACGGTAAGTATTGTAGAATCTTGCGACAGGCATGTTAGATTCTGCAAAGGAAGAATGTTATTGTCCAGCCTGGCTGATGCTTGCCACGGAAGAACTTTGTCTTTCAATTGCTTATATATATACATACCTGTGCAGTCTCAAGTTACATTTGATTGGTAAACTTTTTTTGTGGATTTCATGGCTGAATATATTTTTATAGATTTTAAAAGCCAGATACTCGAAGCTGTCTATAATTACAGCGCCACAAAGGATTTCTGAATTTTCTTTTAATAGTTAGTGTTTTTGACTCAGTACAAAAGAGAATATGTTGAAGAGTCTCTTATGTGAAACCTCATGTCGTCATAAATAACTTAAAAACGGGTCTTCCAATTCTATCGAAGTTTATATCGGTTGCAGTGTCAACTCAAACACCTGCTTAATTTTCTCCAACGTCGAACTATGATTTCGTATGTAGACCCGAATTCTGTACTGCACAGAGGCGGATGCATATCTTAAATAAATGATCAGCGTCGATGGAGAAGGTGGAGCTTGACAGTTGTATATTATGTTTACTAATATATTACGATTTGGAACGGAGTCTTCCGGTTCAGAGAAAGCACTTTGTAAAACTCTCACTGTGAGCTTCTGTGATCACGTCGCTCTCCTCTTCCCGTTGGCGTGTGGGCGCCAGAAAGAGAAAGTATACAAACATTGTCCTAGTCCAAATTGTCCCTCTCCAACGAGTCTCTCCCCAACGAAAGATATACGAAAAACGACCAACATTTAAAATAATTAATAATTTTTTTTTTTTTTTGTTTTCAATAAATTCCTTGACAATAATGCCAATTAAATGTTGTAAATGTTGTTTCTTCAAACTAAATTTTCTTTCGCTTGGAGTAAACATTAGAAGGTTTGAAATACCTTGATTTCACTACTAATAAGCTATAATGCCTTGTAATTAGCACCACACGGGCTCAAACAATCACGTCAATACGTGCTCACCTACGAACGCACCATATCAGTAACGACTGACACCAGAGCAATTAAGCAACGCTAATGCACCAACGAAAATGACGGCAATTTACAGGTACAAAGCAATCGAAAAACGACAAGTGCTCCTGGCAATCCACCCGACTCCACAACGCTGGGCTTAGTATAAAACCGGCGGCATTTGCCGTTACTGCTACAGTTAATGCAATGTTAGTTGTTAGTTGGTTGAGTGTTCAGCAACCCCGTTAGCGTTTACTCGTACATAGATTGAATTCATTCGGGCTCAACGCAAGCACACATTTGTTGGACCAATGGCAACATCATTTCCAAGGCGAACGCGAAACCAGTCGAATAAAGTGGTGCCACCATTTGTGGTGGGGCGCGCACCATGGTGGCAGCCGGTGGAAGCGGCTGCACGGTTCCGTGAGGGTAAGCGGAAAATCTCATTCGCCAATGCGCTGAAGGATTTTCTGCAGAATGTGTCATTTCATTGTTATGGTAAATTAGTTGAGCCTCACAGACGTTTCCACGAGCGGTGAGTACGAGTATGTCGCATTCCCTCTCCGAGGTAAGAAGTGGTGTGGCAACATATCGAAATCGTTGGAGCGAGAATTTAATCAAGTACTGTTTTGTTTTATCTTTCTTGTTGTTTACTTACAGTTTCTTCTGGATTATTTTCCATTTAACAATGTTGAGCATAATGATTGTATTTCTATGGAAAACACAAGTCTTCGGCGGGCAATTTTTAAGCACGACCTTGTTTGATCCAATGTATCCCATACAAAACGTGCCGTTCCCCACCTTTTCGATTTGTTCGCTAAATCGCATGTCGAATTCCTCTGTTACGGCATATGCAGAAAGATTGTGAGTTTTTAAAGAGACATTGATTAACCAATTTTTATTGTTTTTCTTAAAAGATAACTAAAGAACGTGTGTATATTTTTAGAAATATGAAAGATCCTGCCAAACGTGGTGTAAATTATTTTTACGCGCACATAAAAAAGCTGAGCTATCCATATTCGAAAAGAATTGAAAATGATGATAATTTTGAGGATTTCTTGGAGTTCCAAAACTTTTTGGACGTTTACGATACTAAGGACACCGAGGTCTTTTACAATACCAGAAGTCGTATGATCGAGGTACAACTATGAGTATTAATTATTAATTATTATTATTTTTGTTTGAGTTCATACAGACCCAAAATTGGCAATTAAACCAGCCTTAAAAGCCCTAATTCGATATCTGTGTGCGATACTATGCCCAGTATTCCGACGGTCACTTGGTTGACAATTAAGCCTTAATTATCTCTTAATTTGCTCCACAAAGAGTAAATAAAGTAGGTTACACTTGCTATTCGGTTCAAGCTGCCGCCCACAGGTACCTCAGCCTACTGCTCCTACTACTCCTAAGTACGGGATTTTCGAAAAGGAAGTATCTCAAGGTTTTAGGCTCTTTCGTCTCACTACAACTTCAGCAGAAGTATTTTTAATTCCTGCCTGCCCAATAGAATATGCCCTGCAGGAAAATATATAATTGTAGATATTTACTTTCCTTTTAGCGCGATAAGCTTATGCGACCTTCTTCTATCCTATGTTGGGCCATTATTCTGGTCGCATTGCATTAATTTTTTCAACTTAAGTTAGACGTTTTGTTGAAAGAAAATCTGAACAAACCTTTCATAATTGCCCCAATAATCCCTAAACATGCAACTCTGTGTAAATAAAAATGGCTAAAATATAACTACACTTCCGTTTAATAAAGGAGAATCTCTTATTTGATAATGAGTGAGAAACTGTATAATCCAAAAAGGCATGATGAATAACTCCATTATAGTAAGGATACGGTGAAGAGCGGTATGTCTAAGTTCTTCCACGATGACGAAGGTGCACTGGAAGTGCCTTTCCATGCAAGCTTGTTTGCCTTCTCATTACGCAGAATAAGTTACGTATTTAATAATTAAGGGGCACACCTAGTGTATTGGCCTAAAAAAAGGTGATTTTTGTGAATTTATATTAAAAAAAATAGCTTATCAATTATTTCAAAATTTTAAGAATATATTTATACATGTTTCAAGAATATACAGTAAAATTTTTGAAGAAAAAAATTAAATATTTTTTAAGTTATAGTCGATCTTCAACGGCGCGAAAAAAAGGTCCTTAACCGCTGCAGTGCTTCCGGCCTTCTCCGTGGATGAAATCTAAAAAAAAATTCTCTACTAGATAATATTGTCTGTACAATGACCTACGATAAAAAATCAAAAATTGACAATATGGCAGCGTTAAAAAAAAAAATAGTCGAACTTTACACAAAATTTTGGTCGTTTTTGGTCTGCCAAAATTCGATTTTGTGATCAGATCAAAAATCGATCGGTCATTGTACGGAGAATTATATATGGAACATGTTAAAAAATTTCGATAATGATCGGATCATTTGTTTTTGAGTAATCACTGCAGCAAATGCGAAAAATGCTGTTTCGAGAAAAACGCGTTTAAAGATAAAATGATCGTTTTCACTCGATGCTAATGAGACTCCCTAGCTGTCGAGCTCTTTTAATTGCTATAACTCAAAAACTATTTGAGATATCGATTTGAAATTTTAATATGTTATCTTTAAAGGTATAATCTACCAAAATGTGAAAAAAGATCGACTTTTTTGAAATTACACACTAGGTGTGCCCCTTAAGTATTCAACTTTTATATACCGTGTTCACACAGACACTTGGCAATTAATTGAGCAGAGCATTTAATATATTGGAAGCGTGTTTTTTAGACATGTGGTTTTCAGGAAGAAATAATACGCATATAATTCAATTTTTTTTTCCAAGAATTTAGCTTTATTATAAAAATAAGAGTGTGCTCTTATATTTTCAAAATAATTTCGTGCAAGTGACCGGAAAAAAATCCAGCTGAGAAATTCAATATTCGACCGCATTTTGTAGCATTTGGGGCAGTACATGTATGCCAGCAATAACGTCGACAAGGAACTTCACATAACCTTTTAAATAATAATCCAGCAGTGTTGAATCCCACAAAATTGAAGACTTTGCCACAGGTCCACCCCTCGAGATAATGCAATAACTTGATTGTTTGTTGAACCAAAAAGATGGATTTATTCGGGTCTTCTTAGTTGCGGAGAGTAAACGGGGTATAAAACCGATCCATGATTGCTCGAATACCGACTCTGGTGGGCAATTATATCGTTCTAATATTGGACTGCAGATGCAGTTAAGGCCCAAAAAAATAAACTTTAAATAAGCGAAGCATTTTCAATTGTAATATAATTAAAGTCAAATTAATGCTGAAAACAATTAAACCACGAGCTCAAACACTATAGACGGCTGGAGCGATTATCGGATATTCAACAAATGGAGGAACCTATAGTTTAAACTAAGCCGTCTCCGAATGGCTAACGGTTACTTATGAGGAGCCTTTAATTCATGTCGGAAATACAGTGGTTCCATGCCCTGCCGAGAGGAGATCGCAATTTGAAAATTTTCCTTAAGTTTTTATGTAAAATAATTTTCTTTAAGTTGTTGTTGGTCTTAAGAATGAAAGTGCGCAATGCCAACCACTCGGCTATTCTTGCTCTAATGTTATTGCATAAGATAAATTAAGTGTGTGTGAACACAAATTCAAACGGAATAAAGCCAAAATTAATTTATCTATTTAAATATGTATTATTTGTATTTTCTGAGTAATCTATTGATTTTAAATCTTATTATTTTCAATATCCCTTTACCGTTAGTTAACCCCCAATTGCACGGATATATTGGTACATTGTCGTTTAGCTGGCGAGGATTTTGATTGCATGACAAAATTTACAGAAACTCTTACGGCGAATGGTCTTTGTTGTACTTTCAATGAAGATGGCTTGTAAGTAAGAAAGAAAGAAGAGAAGAAAACTTTTCAAAATATTATAAACAACGATTTAATCTTACTATTGTAAATCCAATAGTTTCTTCTTAATTGCTTTTTAAATAAGAATTCTTTTCTATTTTCAGATATTCGAAACCACGCCCTCCTAGCCTTAGTTTTTTCAAAGAGCAAAAAGGCTTGACACTCCTGTTAAACTCTGCAAATAAGGATGAATTCTTCAAACAATCATATTCAGCTGGATTTGTAGTGAGTTTAATTTGCATATCTAGTTTCAAAATTAAGATAATTACCGGAATTCGGTAGCTAACGACGTGCATTATTAGGGTGGGACGGTCGACCATTTTGCCCATCTCGCAAATTTACGATCCATTGCAACGTACGGGAAGCGTACCAAGAGTTGAAGAGGGAAGCAAGGCGAATTTGTATGAATAATTTTAAAAAGTAGTAAATAAGGAAAATTCTTGATAATTCGATGAGAAAATTAGGCATAATACTCATGGTTTCCCAACTGGAATTGAGAAAAGGGCTCTAATATCTGTCGGTTAGGACAGACCCGAACATTAAACGATGATGAATGGTATGGAGGTTCTATCATTATGATGAAGTTCAAATAGCAATAACTAGCTTAGAGAATAACAATGGCTCTCTGAAATCCAAGTTCTGTCAAATAGCGCTCTATGAGAGCGTTGTATGCCGAAGATATTGATATCATTTAGTTTCAACAACTATGTTGTAAGTACTGCTTTGTCTAGTGTGGAAAGGAAAGAGAGGAAAATGGATATTGTAGTGAAAAAGGGAAGGAAGAAACATATTTAGTCAGCGAGTTGATGTTTGAAGATCGATGCTTGCTCGCTGTTGCACCTTTAGTGAACAGAGGCAGCAATTGGGCATCCGTGAACACTTAAACCGAATATCTCATAGTAGCTTCACTATAGCTTCCTCTCTTTTAGCCATGATCCAAGGCTGCAAAGTGGTTGGTTATCGCATCTTGCTCACTCTTTCAGAGTAGGCGACGTGAACGTATGAGTTGGAATTGAATACAGTTTAGGAGTTGCAACAGGGTACCCAGAATCTTGATTGCACCCACTCGGCCGCCCTTAAACTTATTAAAATTTTGCGATTTATTTCTTCTTTAGTTCTACATACATTCGCATGGTTATTACCCGGAGGTTTCAAGTGGTTCGGTAAAAGAGCGCTTCGTCCAAACCGCTATGCATACATACCTTTCAATTGTGCCGAGCATTATGGAAACCGTCAGTGAAGCACGAATATTGTCACCATCAGTGGTGAGTACCACCTGCTTTTCGGCAAAAAGGGATTAGCTTAAGCGCACAGACGCATTTTATTAATTGCTGAAGTGTCAAAGTTTTATTCTAAACGTTCGCTTAATCCTCACCCATCCGTTTTTTCACAGCGTAAATGCTACTTCGACGATGAGCAGCCACGATATTTCGGCAAGCAATATAGCGCTAATAACTGTATTACACGCTGTCGCATGCATAGCATGTTGGTCTTATGTAATTGCTTGCTCTTCATGTATCCCGAAGAATTGTTGACTGTGGGCACAGACTATGTGTACTGTACGCTGCGGCACAAAGCTTGCTTGGAACGCTATTATTGTAAGTAGATGAGATTTGTATTAATATTATATTCTTCAACATTTATAATTGTTCGCCGAAACAGTTAAATGGTCGAACGTGATAACTGTACGCGCTAACATTCCGGGGCTGGAACGGGAAATGGAGGATTCTTTGTACTGCCCGGAATGTTTGCCAGTTTGTACTTCGGTGCGTTACGATGTTAGATCCAATGCGCTGCCCCTGACATTGTATAATAAGCACACTTTTCCGTGAGTAATGAAAATGTGGTATTCCTCTTTTAACTCGTATTTACTATCAAATAATTTTTTTTCGTTGTCATTTTAGGGAAATAGCAGCGTTAAATATGACGAGCCTTGCGTTGACAAAAGTTTATTTCAGTGTTTCTCATGTTCAAATCTTTAGACGTATTCTTAAGGATACTTGGTTTGAAGTGCTCAGTAAGTTCAATGGTTATTACTTCATTGTATGTAAAGTTTTAGAATCATAACGGTTACATAATCTGTATTGAGAATTATAATCAATTCTCAAATATGTTTTTATATTCTATTTTATAAAATGAGATTTAAAAATGTTTACTTTTATATCTTGTGAAGCCAATTGCGAATATCAGCTGTAGCCAACCAGCTTCTTCTCCACCAACGAAGTGGAGGTCTTTCTCTGCCTCAACTTCCAACGGCGGGCACTGCATCGAAAACTTTGCCATACTCTGCGGTGCGAATGCCCAAACGACCGAAAACACTAAAATTTCTAACGTCGACTCATGAGATATTGCACCGAATATGTCTCCGCACCACATAGCAAGACGGTAGCAGGAATGATGAGCGACTTATTGGGTTTGATTTTCGTTTGTCGTGAAAGGACTTTATATTTTACTCGTACTTGCCTACTCATTCCAAAGTAGCGTCTGTAGGCAAGAGTGATTTGTCATTGGATTTCAAGGCTCACATTGTTTTTGGTGTTAGTTTTAGTTCTGAAATACACGAAATTATCTGCGACTTCGAAGTCATGACTGTCAACAGTGATCTGGGAGCCGAGTGGTGGATGATGGCAGGAGATATTTCGTCTTGCCCTCGTTCATGACCAGACTCATTTGCTTCGCTTCCTTAACAAGTTAAGAGAAAGCGGAACTCACGGCGTGGTTGTTGAGGCCAATGAAGATTCTACCTTCCCTAATCAGTCACACGATAAGGAATCACTCAGACTGCTCGGAGAGGTCTCCCCCGATCCTGTCAGAGCTTTTGATGGTGCTTAAGATCATAGCCGTATATTTTAAAGAGCCTTATTACACGGTAATTGGCGCAGACTGTGGGTTAGCCTTTTTTGTGGATTGGGCAGAGCACACTTTGCAAAGAAGCTGATATATGTACCCTACTAGCTCTTCACCGCCGTATTTGAATAGCGGACAACGAAACATTTGTTCCAACAACATTGATATGGGAATCGTACTCATCATACCCTGGTGTTATACTATCATCGCCATTCAGCAGGTTGGATGAGCGCTCCCTAAATTCAATATACCTCTTTGTGTCGGACGAGTGTAAGTCGCCATATCATTTCATAGAATTTTCGAGCATTACCTTTGTCGGCCAGCTTCTCAGGCTCTGTACACTCACGCATCTCGGCTTCGTTCTTTTTTTATCTGCGCATGCATCTTCAGATTTTTGATGTCGGAACTTAGTATGACAGACGAACATATTTCAGTCTCAACATATTTGGGTATGCTTCACCGGGGAGGCTAAGACGGCTCGGATAGTTGTGCCTTTGGTAAACAGACTCTGCAATTGACTGTATAACGTTTATTTCTGGTCGAAAAATAAAAACTAACATACAAATTTCTTTTAATCGAAATTGCAAGTGGTTCTTAAATATTTTTTTTTTTCAATTTCTTCTCTTTTTATAACAGGTTTCATTGGCAACATAGTGGGCATTATTAGCGGATTTTCATTGGTTGGCATTTGTGAAGTTCTGTACTTTATCGGTGGCCAGATGTTTTTGGCTTTTAAGAATGAAGTTGCATCCGACCGCAAAAGCAAAAATAAGAAGACACCAAAAACTCCATTGTTAATTTTTCCATAAGAAAACAATTTTGCAATTGGAATTTTTTAATATATACTCATGTTAGATTTGATTTGTGTTAATTGTTGTATTTATGTGAATAAATGGATTTTTTTCTGGTTCTACTTACTTCCGATATCATACACATTCGAAAGTGATCGCCAGACCCTCTATGTTTACAGCAAGGAAAGGAGGTTGATGCTGTTAATATGGGTTGGTGATGTGGCAGTTTAGTCTGTACAGGTATAATACCAATACTTCTGTTGTGTTTGAATTACTCAAGAGAGTAAAATCTGGTAATCACTAGACGGACCTTAGTGTATTTGCCGAAAGAAGTGGTTGCGTTTGGGGAGAGTGTAATTTGCAGCGCTCTTCTTGGTGCGACTGAGTACAGGGAGTACTCGAAATTTTGCCCCTTTCATAAAACACTACGGGAAAAAACTGTTGTTGAGAACTCTTTTATAGCATTAATATCGAGATATAGCCACCTAAATCGGAGGTCCTCGTTGATTTATTATGGGATAGGAAAATATCTAATAACAATAATAATTTGATGCTTTGTAACCGCTGAAATAATTTTTAGACGAGCACCTCCTCCTATCTGTGATATGCGTCTTGTGGTTTTTTAACAAATGGAGGGGGGTTCTATAGTTTATTCTGAGCCGCCTTCGATCTGACGATGGATTTTTATAATGAGCCTTTATTTCATCTTAGAAATACACTCGGTGGGTTGGATATTCAATATGGAATCTTGATCGCTTACTGTTAAAATTCAGAAGATTTCTAAATTATTTTGGATCATAAGTCATAAATTTTATTTACTACACATGAAAATTATGTAATAATTAAAATACAAGAATATTAAAATTTTTTGGTGGAATTGTTAAAATCATTTAGTAGTTTAACTTTTTAACTTTCACTTCGAAATCGTACTGATTATTGATTGCCTGCGAAGAGTCCATAAAACTGAGCTTGGCGTTGGTAATGCTTTTTTCGTTCCGTAGTAGTATTATCTAATTTTTATAGATACGATTTCACAATTTCACTTTCCAACCTACACTGCATGACTCTGGGCACTGTAGAGAAGCTCTTAAATTTCGCACATTAGAGCGCTATCCGCATGGACTGATATAGGCTTTTTTAATAATTTCAGGAGCTCTTGATTGTTACATTAGTGCAATCGATAGCTTCAATAGTGCCTCCAATAATGATGGATCTCTTAATGCCGCTATTTTGGGTAATCTAACCTTAGCAGAAACCTCACATGGTCGCCACTATTCTCCTGCCTTTTGGTTGGTTATCAAGCTGAGAAACAATTTTTCAAGTAAACGTCAGGTCAATCGAAATATATTTTGAAACTCAGATGAATTTAAGAGAAGAGGTAATTTCCCGATCTACATATATTATTTTACTTGAACCGCAGGTTGCTCTTCATGCAATGCTTTATAAAAAGTGTTACAGTGATCGTATTTAGTTAAAATATGCACCGTTTTGTTCGATGATCTGTTTCCATCTAGACGGCAACTTCATAATACCTTCCTCGTAGAAGCCTCCCTCCTTATTTGCGAAGAATTCGGACAGCCACTTTTCACAAGCCTCTTTTGAGTTCAACTTCACACCACCAAGGGCATTCGCCATGGACAGGAACAGATGGTAATCACTTGGCGCTACGTCCGGGCTATATGGTGGATACGATAAAACCTCCCATCCGAGCACCCTTAGCTTCTGACGAGTCATCAACGAAGTGTGTGGTCTGGCGTTGTCCTGGTGGAACACTACACCCTTCCTGTTGGACAATTCAGGACGCTTCTGGTCGATCGCCTGCTTCAAGCGGTCCAGTTGTTCGCAGTAGATGGTAGAATTAAGCGTCTAGCCATATGGGAGCAGCTCATAATGGATGATTCCCTTCCAATCCCACAGCAAAACCTTCCTGGCCGTTAATCCCGGCTTGGGCACTGTTTGGGACGATTCACCGGCCTTCGACCACGACCGTTTTTACTTGATTTTGTCGTATGTGCTCCATTTTTCCGGCTCTGAATCGTCGAAACCATTCCTCCATTAATCTCACGGAACGTTTCTCTAGCGGACTTGCCTTTAACGAAGGAAAACTTTAAAATAGCGCGAATTTCGGCGTTAGTGAACTCCATGTTTACCCGTCTATAACTGTTGAACGTATCATGCATAGCGTTGCTTTGTAGGTTATGTCAAGACCTTTCAAATTATGTATAGTGTTGCCAGATACGAGCGCTTTGTATATAGCCGCGAAATTCAAAAGACAAAAAAGCGGAAGGGAGATATTTGACAACCTAATATTAAACCCTTTGGCGTAGTCGCTAATAACTTTACAATCTTCGCAAGCGGAGAAAAATTCTCTACTCAACTCACAGATGTTAGTAGGAACGATTTTATTATTAAATTATATTACTGACAACGGTCTTTCCTCAATTATATTATATAAGGAAATAAACGAAATGATTATGGAAATATTGAAGTATTTGCTCTTGCAATAAATTAATTTTTATTTCGAAAACTATTTTCTTCTACGAAGCTCAACTCACTGCACACATTGACTGCAAGAGACAAACTTCCGGATTTTTCCGCATCCAAACCAAAGGCACTGCCATAGTGTTATTAAGAAATTAGTTTTGGTAAATGAAACCGAGACCAAAACCAAAGATGCGCACCCTCATTAATAATTAATTCAATTAACATAATATAATGTACACGCGTCCGTATGTGCGCCAGTGCACATTGAGTAGCTTCAAAGCTTCAGCAGCTGCTTAGTCGAAAGCGGTAACCAAACATAGGACGCGCTGAAATGGAGTTATAAACCACGACCGGCTCGACACAACGCAACGCCTGCAGGCTGCATGCGCCGTCGCTGTGGACTTTCCTAAGCAGCTTTTGGCCGCGGGCCACTCAGCTTGGAGTAATGAATTCAATTTGTTAACTGAAAATATGCGCAAATTTATGCTTTTGTTTTTTTTTGCATTTTTTTGGTTTCTTTTATGCTGCCGCAGCCGCCAACAAGGTGGTAACATTAGCTCTTGTTGTTGTTGTTTTCATTTTGTCGTTTATTGCTACGAATTGCAGCTACTGTTGTGGCTGCTAATGCCCCGAACAAATGAAGCTACTGAATTTAAATGAATGAAGTGGCATTAAAATATGCGCTTAGCACTTGGAGGCGACGAGCGGATGCGGTTGCTATGTGTAATAGGCGTGTGTGAGGCGAGGTAAATACAATACATACTGCTCCTAGGCCACGGGAAGATAGTGAAGTTGTGAGAGTTGCAACATATGCAGTGTGTGGCATGCCGAGTGTGTGGCGCATGCCATTGTACCACGAATTGCATGCCTACATATGTACATATGCATGTATAGCTAGGGAAGTACTATGATGCGCTACTCATGGTTGGAAGTCTCGATTGGTATTTCACTAGCTATTAAATTTTGCAGTTGCAGTAGTTGTATCGAATATGCATTGTAGGGATTCAACGGCTATATGATCCTGGTCTGAACATTCCACTTCGACTTTGTTATAAAGAAAATAAACTAAAGATCTTTAGTCTTTATTCTGATCAATATTGAGACGGGTTGCGGGACTCATTTAATATTTCAGATCACGGATTTCGGATTCTGGCGTCGACTTCGATACCCGCAAAGGAAACAAAAGAACTAAGATTTGGATTGTGTTTTAAGAGATCCGTAATGGGTCCAGTGTGCAATGGCGGTTGCTTTCAGATTTAAACAAAATAATTTAAAAATCATTTCCTTGTTACTGATAGCCGGCCCTGCCTCGAAGTCCGGCACCACTAAAGCATTTCATATATCAGTCAGCGACCTAGTCCACTAAGAAAATTCAAGTACTCTCGTTTCAAATGTGGATATTTGCATAGATCTTTAATACCTCTAGCCAATATTACTACGAAGCAGGATTCTTCTGTGCGTTCGTCAATAGCGAGAGTAGTTTCAAATTTACTGCCAACCACTCTGTCTTCCCAGCAGAGATTGTGAGTGTGCCTAGGGGGGGTCAAAATCTTAAGGCAAGGGAGCGTGCAATGGACTTTCACGACAGACCTCAGGGAACATCTCTTGGGTACCGTGTAACAGAATGAAGATGGTCAGGTTATAACCATTGACTGCTTCAGTGGTTCCTAGACGAAAATTTGCGGTTCAGTAGCAATTCAAATGCATGGCAAACCTTGAAATTTCTTTGGGTGTGGGTGGTTTCCAGATATACCAAACTGTTACCTCTTAAGAAAACTAGCACTGAGGATTCATATAAGCGTATCGATGGAACCGGAGGATTGAAGAGTATGCGCAGAATAGAACAAAATGATGTAGCACTATCTTTAGGAGTATCTGGTCCATGCTTCAGTCTTGCGCAGAAGGGTACGAGCGACTGTTTAATTGGCATAGATGCGGTCGCTGGCGGTCAGGTGACTACTATTCCAATCCATCTACAATGCGCCTAATTTACTCCAAAGGCAGCAACTTACGATTTATATTTTCAATTGAAATTACGATTTATTTTCCGATTCCGATATTCCGATCAAAAAATAAATGACTCAGAAATTGCCACTAACTTCTATTTCTTCATTTGTTGTGTTCGTTGCGCTTTTGAGCTTACGTTTTGCTTTTTCCTCGTCTTCTTCTTCGGAACTCTACTTAACCCCAATCGTCACCGAAATCTGCTTAGTGAATAAAAATCTACGCATGGGGTGGGCATGGCTTCGGATTGGTACTGATTTTAACTCGCTGCCTCCTTAAATTGTTTTTAAAAGTTCTGGCATTAAATTGGCTTTAATCCTCCGATTCCGCTTCCTTTACGGATGTAATGATCGCACGCGGTGCATGCGGACGATATCCACTCGTGACACTTAAAGAACTCGAAAGAACCCCTGTGTCTTGGATTAGAAATTTTCGAATTCCTTTTAAATACCACGGAGGAGCATAACTTCGATAGATATAACGATAATTTACGAACTCTATTTTTGACTTTGGTTTCGGTGAGCCATCTT